AACAAATAAAAAATGTTCATGTTTCTGCTCCATACAATAGCCTATAATCTAGGCGGAGTGCCGAGCTTTTTTCTTTGCTGCTAAACTAACCTTAAGCAGAACGTCTGATACGGCGAGACTACGAACCGTGAGCCGCGAAGCCGCTTCGTGACTCACGGTTCGTAGTCTCGCCGTATCAGACGTTCTGCTTAAGGTTAGTTTAGCAGCAAAGAAAAAAGCTCGGCACTCCGCCTAGATTATAGGCTACTCCATACAATAGAATAGACCAGACATAGCAATGTATTAGTCTCGTTCTAAGTTCAAATGTCATCTTTCTTGCTGAAAATAAGTCTTTCATAATTGCCAGGAACGTATACACCAGTTTACGGTTGTGTGCGCCATTTTAAACAAAGCCAATGACCTAGAGGTCATGTATTTATGCGTAAATTTAGATTGCTCCCATGCACATTATGATGACATCACTGCCTATGCGCTGCGTTTTTGCGCGCACATCATCATTTGCATGGGCGCAATCTTAATTTATGCATAAATACCACTGGTCAAAGGTTATTGGCCCTGTTTCAAGGCCAATGACCCGAGGTCAACTGTCTGCGCATGCGCACTGATACAACCGTAAACTGGTGTATTCCGTGCATTTAAAGGGAAAGTCCACCCCAAAAATAAGTTTGTTTCGACAGAGGCAGAATAATAAGAAAATCAGGTGAGTGAAAGTTTGAACAAATTCTGAATGAAAATAAGAAAGTTATGAATTATTGAAGTTGTGATCAATCAAATACAAATTGGCAACTCTGTGACGTATTATACGAGCTCTCCTTCATTTGCTTTGTGCATAATATTCCATAAAATCATGTTTTCTTCGTTATTGATGACGGAATATATATTTGTTCCTTGCAGGGGGAGTATAGAAACATATTTGCAATTATTATATTTAGGGTGCATGTATGGTTGAAATTTTTCTTGAGGGAAAATGAAAATTTTAGATTTTTTTAGTACTAAGCAAATGGAAGTTGAGCTCGCATTTTACGTCATAGAGTTGCCAATTTGTGTTTGATTGATCACAACTTCAAAAATCCTAACTTCCTTATTTTTAATCGGAATTTGCTCAAACTTTCACTGACTTGTTTCTCTCATTTTTCTACTCCTATTAAAACTAACTTAATTTCAGGGTGGACTTTCCCTTTAAGTCCTTCCTTTGATGTCTGTCTCGCATATCTTAAGTTACATCAGGCGATCGAGTGTGGTCTTACTGACCATTTAGATGTAATTATTGCATGGGATTTCCTCTGCCTCGATCATCGAAAACCATGGACCTATAGGTTTCTGAACTATCACAACTAGGCCAAACTCTTCCCTTTTAACTCGTAGACCATCCTGTAATTCATTGTTGAAAATCTTCTACACACAGCATTTTGAATGGACAAAATTTAGGGTTTATAGACCCTACATGTACATACATTTAAACTAATACAAAATACATGTACATGTATAGAAAATCGTAACTCAATCGCTGAACCAAGGATTATGCAAGCAGTAAACACTTAGAGAAAACTGTCCAATGGTGAAGTGGGTACATGCAGATGCAGGATAAATGTTTAAAGGTCAAGCAGAGTAAGAGTACAGAGTAGTCTCAGAGAAATATTTTCCTTTCATATTTTCGACTTGTAAGCACCGTCCTCAAGGGATCTCCTTTGTGCGACACAGCGCTTGCGCGAACAATGACGTCACGTGCATAATTATGTTCTTTATTGAATATTCATAAGTGCGTTTCTGATTGGACACAGCGTACAATCATTTCGCTAGTAAATTACGTATTTCTATAAATTAACCTCAATAAATTACAATAAAATGTACTAGATTAATGCATATCATATGTAATATTGTAATTCTGATAACAATTTCGAGCAACAGGATTGTATAAATGAATACTCATTCAGTTTTTTTGACAACCATTTATTTTTGTAACTGTTATTCTAGAGTACATTGGTAACCTACTAATTCTCTGTCAATTCTGTAATAAGCATACTTACCTGGCGCAGGGGTCGCATTGATCAAGAAGGATGCACCCCCAGGGCGAGGCTTGCCATTGCACTCCGGCTTGCTGAATCTTGCGATTCCCCCAAACGTGGGGAACTCGGGCGTATAATTTATGGTAGTGGAGATCTGCGTTCGCGCTATCTCCTAAACTTCGAATGATGAAAAGTAAGAAACACTGAATTGGTAGAAGAGACAATTCTTGAGTTTAGGTCAAATGTACACTGTTGAAGGTACATTTGCAAGAATTGAAAACTACCTCACTCTTTTTGGAGTCAGGATTATCATTGCGGTCGCTTCGAAACAGAATGTAGTTCCACACCCAAAATGGCCAAATAGCAAAAATGCATTGTTTCTTGTCCCCGCCCGCCTCCATCTTTTAAACTTTTTAGTATTCAGAATAGAAAAATTGCTCCCGAAAATTAGAAAATCGCGCCGGCCGATAATTCGCTCAGTGGGGGTGGGGGAAGGGGGGGGGGGGGGGTAATGAGCACTAATCATTTTGTTTAGGCCCTCGAAAATTTGAAAAATCGCAACCCCCCCCCCTCCCCCTGAGCGCCAGGGGTGGGGGGATCTCCAAATAAAGGTAAAATTAACGTGTTTTTACACGTTTTTCCCCCCGGGTGCTACGATGTGTAAAGTTAAGCAATATGGCTTTCGTGATAATTCGGCATAAACACAGTATTTTAGCAACTATATTCATCATCGTTTTTTATGTATGGAAAACGGATATTTTCCCTAATTAGCTGACGTATTCGCGCAATTCTTGGTTCCCCTACATATTCAACCTGTCACATGCTTTTGTTTTGATATGTTTACCTCTTACATTTTTATATGTGCCATGCAAGCCAGTCACGGGCCAGTCACCGTTGGCCTACTGATGGGGGGGGGGGGGGGGGGGGGGGGGGGGGGGGGGGGTTGAAGAGGGATGGGAAACACTACTGTACCATTAGGATAACTCTTGTCTGTATATTCCCATGGTAGGTATAGCATCATCATTATATATCATCCAGTGTTTATGTATGGTTTTTTTTTTCTTTTCATGCAGAATCATAGGCCCTATAGATCTATAGCAACAATAATGATACAGAATTTATAATATTATGCAAGTATGTAAAAGGTTTTCTGCATTGAAATAGCCGATTCAACTTTAACTTACCAGAAAGAGTAGGTAGTATTGGAAATTCGTTTTATTACAATGCTATAAAACATTGGAATTCCCTTCCCAATGGTGTAAAAGAAATAGAAAACTATGCTCATTTTAAGAGGAAATTAAAGGAATGCCTACTACTTGACAGTCAGAGAATAAAAGTGAATGACATGTTATATGATTGAAATTTGTATTCTTCTTCCGGTTCATACTTTTTTCATTTTGTTTACTTGTATTTTCGTACGTTATAGAAATTCTACAAATTCATCATTATTTTCCTCTTCTTCCTCCTCCTCTTTTTCTTCTTCTCCTTCTTCTTTATCTTCTTTTACTTATTATCATTTCTATGGCAGTTTAATGTTGTTATTATTATTATCTTTAATAAGTAATTCTTTTAATTTTCTTATCTGTCGGTAAATATTACTATGTTAACTTATTTATTTTAAACATGTCTGTAAGGGACCCCACTGTAAATTAGCTCGAGCTTTCGTGGGTTATCCTGTTCAAGCTGACTTATTTTTGATCTGTTATTATTGTATTATTGTTGTATGTTGGAAGCTTGTCGAATAAAAATCAATCAATCAAAAGTTTCACATGTAGGCCTACAGTACATTACAAGTTTATACTTTTTATGCCTCCGTTACGAAGTAGCCGGAGGCATTATGTTTTCGGGTTGTCCGTCCGTCTGGCGTCCGACCGTACGTCCCGTTCTCGTGATCGCGTTATCTGAAGAACCGATTGATGGATTCCTGCCAAACTTTGGTCATGTATGTATATATCTTGCAGAGCCGATGAACTGATTAGATTTTGGGGTCACGAGGTCAAAGGTCAAACGTCACATGGCTCAGCGGCCCTGCATAAACAGCTCGTGATCGCGTTATCTCAAGAACCGATTGATGAATTCCTGCCAAACTTTGGTCATGTATGTATCTTGCAAAGCCGATGAACTGATTAGATTTTGGGGTCACGAGGTCAAAGGACAAAGGTCACAGGGCTCATATGTATGCAAAAACAGCTCGTGATCGCGTTCTCAAGAACCGATTGATGGATTCCTGCCAATCTTAGGTCATGTATGTTGCTTGCAGAGCCGAAGAACTGATTGGATTTTGGGGTCACGAGGTCAAAGTTCAAACGTCACATGGCTCATTATGTATGCATAAACAGCTCGATCGTGATCGCGTTATCTCAAGAACCGATTGATGGATTCCTGCCAAACTTAGGTCATGTATGTTGCTTGCAGAGCCGAAGAACTGATTAGATTTTGGGGTCACGAGGTCAAAGTTCAAAGGTCACAGGGCTCATTACGGTATGCAAACTTGTGACTGCAGCTCGTGATCGGTTATATATCTCAAGAACAGATTGAGGGATTCCTGCCAAACTTAGATCATGTATGTATCTTGCAGAGCCAATGAACTGAGTAGATTCTTGGGTCATGAGGTCAAAGGTCAAATGTCATGAGCTCATTATGTATGCAAAATAGCTTGTGAACGCATCCTCATTAGAACTGACAGCTGGATTACAACTCAGGACATCTTGCAGAGCCAATGAACTGAGTAGATTTTAGGGTCATGAGGTCAAAGATCAAAGGGTCATATATGTATATGAGAAATCAAGATATTCTGAGAATGGATTACAATGAACCTTGAATTTGAAAAATTTCTTCTGTTTTGGTTTGAAAACTTGCTCTATGACGGAGGCATCATTCATGCATTTTCGACTACGCGCAGTCGAAGTTCCATCTAGTTTAATTTTCAGTCCTGACGTCTGTGAGATACCATAGTCGCCTAAATACGCGCTCTGATTGGTCAATTTTCAGTCAATTTTCACAATACAATTTTCCGCGGACACTTTGAAGCCGTTGATTGAGCATCAAAAGGTGTCAGCTTTTGCCGATTTTCTTCCTGTTGGTTCGTAGATTTTCAATATTTTCTATTAAAAATTATGACCGATGTATCTTAGTATAAATTTTGAAAGGAATTAATGCTAAGGCATTGCCATAAGTAATGGTGACCGTTTTGTTTGACTGTTGGCGTTGATTTGGAGAGGGCAGCGCGCAGCGGAAGAGGCACTTGTCCGACTCGGTGTCGCAGCGCCGGGCGCTGGCGAAGGCAGGTTGTAGGCAAACGGGCGCGGCCGCGCGGCGCGGCGGGCCCTTGTTTTGTGAGTGAATTGTCTGAATTTGAAATTTGAGTCTACCATCGTGACACGTCTAATCAACTGAAAGGGCCCACGATATCGAAATGTTATGTTGATTGTTGGACTAGGCGTTGACTGATTCAGCCGAGGACGCAGGTTCGAAACTGAGTCACGTCTTTCGGATGGTGACTTTAATAAGGTCGGTCCTAGGCCTAGACCGAATTTTCCGTCTCTTTCGTTCGTTAGCCTCTTATTGGGGTAGGGTCGGCCGGCTCTCTCTTTAGAGACGGAAACCGTCTATACACATTCCCTTGATAACGCCACGGCCATTTCAGGTCGTAGCGTTTTGCCCCCAAAATCCCCCAAAAATGTCATTTTACCTCGTGCATGTTATATTGTAAATTAGGCCTAGCCCTAGGCTATAATAATTCAGTTCCACTTACCAACTTGACTGAAATAATCCGTTTAATGGTCCCTTTGAAGGAAATTATGGGTCAAAATCGACATCCATGTTGAAAATCTTGCAAGCCGTGTTAAACTCTCGCTGCCGGAGTCATACAATCTCATCCCTTCTAGTCTATGCCGAAGGCACAATGATTATGAAGGAAAAACTGTGCGCTATCTACACGTTCGTAATGGCGTTATCACAGTTTTTTTCCTTCATAATCAGATTAGGGTGTCTGAACGATTTTTCAATTTTCAATTTGGGATCGTTTTTTCACCATTTTTGTTTGATATTGGAATAAAAAATGTAATCAGAATAATACCTTTCAAATTTCAAGACTCACCGATGTTTCTATCAAAAGATACAGCCCCTCAAAAATTGTGCAATATTCATAGCATTTTGGTCAGAATGGACAGAAAAGTGGTTCACGCAGAGTTATAATTTCTGCTCAAAAGCTGCACAGCTAATGCACAGCACGATATGCAAAGTGTGGAGCAAGGGTATTTTCAAACTGTTGTAACAAATGATCCCTTGGGACTAGAGAAAAAATAAGTGCATGGATATATTCTTTACAGCTGGCCCAACTTATCCCTCGGGGGAGCAGTTCGTGAAATTGGTAAATCTCCGAGTTACCATGGAAACGATGTTTAAATCGCTGTTTTGAGCAAGATATTTTTAGAATTCCGGGGGTGGCCCCCTATGGGGAATATGGAGAAAAACCTGCTCTTTCATATGACACCACATTTATTGAGTTTCACCTTCAGGATCATTTGTTATAAAGGTTTGAATTTCTAATTTTTCATAAAACCATTGACCAATTTTGCTTGGTCGCGCAATGCATGTAGACCACATAGGGATGTGTGCAATCTCTATGGGAAAGATTTTAGCACACAACATCGGGTGCGCGATCAGACACCCTAATATTTTGCCTTCGGCGTAGACTAGAAGGGATGAGATTGATTTAGATGCGTGTGTATTGGGTTTTTACAGACGTGTATCAATCAGATATGATTATTTACGTCTGGGACCGACCTTTAAACGTCACCATCCGAAAGACGTGACTCAGTTTCGAACCTGCGTCCTCGGCTGAATCAGTTTGTAACTTCCACTTTTTAGCTGGATTACAGGCGCACGCCACAACGCCCACAACCCAATACACACACACACACACGATTTAGATGACTCCGGCAGCGATAGTTTAACACGGCTTGCAAGATTTTCAACATGGATGTCGATTTTGACCCATAATTTCCTTAAAAGGGACCATTAAACGGATTATTTCAGTCAAGTTGGTAAGTGGAACTGAATTATTATAGCCTAGGCCTAATTTACAATATAACATGCACGAGGTAAAATGACATTTTGGGGGATTTTGGGGGCAAAACGCTACGACCTGAAATGGCCGTGGCGTTATCAAGGGAATGTGTATAGACGGTTTCCGTCTCTAAAGAGAGAGCCGGCCGACCCTACCCCAATAAGAGGCTATAACGAACGAAAGAGACGGAAAATTCGGTCTAGGTCGGTCCTAGACTCTAGACGTAAATAATCATATCTGATTGATACACGTCTGTAAAAACCCAATTATAGATCTACACACACACACAGTACTGTAAACTTGACTGGGCCTGGGCCCAGGGTAAAATTTTAAAAAATAAAGTCAAGATGAAGATTAAAAATAAAATCAGGAGAGAATGTAAATTGCAATGTCTGATTCTGAATGAATCATCAAAACCCCTCATAATCATATATAATAAAGTGATCTAGATCTATCACTTAATCTTATAAGTTAACGCGATAAATTTCTTTAGATCTAACAGTTAGAGTCTACATCTAGATCTACTAGGGGTTTTGCAGCCAGCATATGTTTGATACAAATATATGAATTATTCAAGATACATGTGTTCTATATTAGTTTGCAGAATACTAAACACACTATGAATGTTTTTTTTTTCCAGAAAATATTTAAGATTTTAAAAGGTGAAGATGAGCCTAAAGGACTTTGTCGTCCCTCTTCGTCTGAAAGACCTTCAGCAGGGTACAGGGATCAACCAGTACATCGTTGAAGAGGTTTACCCACTAAGACAGGTTGCAGACAAGATTGTCGGTGAGTTATCAAGATCAAGCAAGATCTACTGTATAGGCCTACAGGTGTAAGCAGTTATTTTGCACCAATTATGCAAATCACTCATTGATCGTGAATTTTAACAACAAGCGAAAATATTGAAGGATGATTATTAAAAAGTATTTAACCGGCTTCACTGGGTAAAAGAGATGAATCGTTTTTAATTCTGAAATTGTTTTATTTGAGTTGAATAACAAAATCAAGTGATATATCAAATTCACACCTACATTTTTTTTTTTTTTTTAGGTTGTAAGTCATCCCTTCATCATGATGGATCCTTCATGATTCTGGATCATTTTGATAGCTTCTACAGTCTACTCAGGTAAATAAGATAATCACAATAATCATTTGTTTGTTTGTTTTCCCTGACTGCTAAGAAAACATGTGTATACTGGTAAGTACAATTGTCCATGGGACTAATGGCTTTAATTTCTCCCTGAGGGACAGGGAAAAAATTAATATTTATTTTTCGGGGGCTACTTTTCAAGCTTGCCTGCATGAAAATAACATTCTAAACTTTGTTTTGCATTGAACTCTATGCAAATTTACAGGGGCTCTTTTCTGATTTTCGGGGGCTCTTCTAGGCATTTCGGGGGCTAATTCGCCCCGAGCCCCCGTGTATTTTTTTCACTGCTGAGGGACTTCATGTCTTACCAAAGGGCGCTAGTGCATACCCAGGACCCAGGACCTCCCGGTTATGAGACCACTGCTCACCACTGAGCCATCGCACCTCCTTTTTACAATGTTATATTATAATTTTTCGGGGATTAACCTTAACGAGCAATAATAATAATAGTAATATAACAGTTATATTTGTAAAGGTTGGCATTGTTTCATTAAACTGTCATAAGTACAAGTTCACTGACATCCTGTTGAAACACATGTTCAATTCAACATGTCATTGGGTTGTTGGGCCTTTGCCGAACTTGAACTTACACGGTTTTGTGAAAAGCTGACCAAAACATTACATTTCTAGGCAATTTGATGATTAGAATACCTATGGTCATTTGATTCAGTTACTATGGTACTTCTCATAATGTATATGCAGACCTGTCAACCAGTACGATTTAGTCGTATTTCGTATGATTTTTAGAAGCAAATACGACAGTACTATTTTCAACAACAAAAAAAGGATTTAAAAAAAATATATATAAATATATTTTTTTTTTTAATTTTAATTTTTAGTGTGGCCATTTTCAAGGCAAGATGCCCATTCTGTCCTGTAAAGTATCCTGCAAGCATCTCACATAGGCAGTTTGGGGATATTAATTGGTTCATCGAACACACCATGCAGTCACGACGAAATCATGCATATTCAACCAATGATTAAAAAAAAAAAATCTTCCTGTATGTAGGAACTGTAAGAGGCATTGATCCGTGTTACAGTCCATGCCTATTTTTAAGAATACAACTTTTGTCAGTAAATACAACTTTTGGGATTAAAGAATACAGTTTTTGAACTCCAGAGGTTGGCAGGTCTGGTACAGGTATATGGTACACTTTCTCAACTCCACTATAGAGGATTACAACCAGTCGCCATTTACAGGCGTACATACGCTAGTCAAACACGTATAACGTTTATAGCCTAGTCTCAGGAACCCACTGCAGGATGGAGAGAAGTATTGGATATAAAAAAAAGCTTTGGTTGAGGAGGACATGATTGCCATGCTGGGGGATCGATCAAACCCACAATCTTTACAACTCAAGTCAACTGTTTAAAACGACATTTATATATTTACCTGTCTCTTGTGCGTCGGCATTCTCAATTTGACTTTTTGCTAATCGATTTGAAAGAACAGCTATTAGAGGAGGCGTTATAGCTCAGTCGGTAGAGCAATGGTCTCGTAATCCGGTGACCCGGTGTGAAACCAAGTCAATGCGCTAGTGCCCTTTGGTAAGGCATTAATCCTCATTACCAGGTCCCTCAGAGAGGACCTAAAGCCGTTGGCCGTCTGGTTGCTTACTTACAAGCATTTATGCTTTCTTAGTCAGGTAAAATAACCACCATCACCATCACATTATTATATTGGAGAAACTGGTCAAATATTTTTGTGTTTACATCATGGTGCATATATAACAAAAACAACAAAACTCTTGAAATGGTTTGTATATATATATGTATGTATTTAAACTTTGTTTGATTTCCTCTATATTTGTAACCTATTTTTTGCCAAGTGTTTCTCAGGAAAGCAGTTTTAATACTGAGAGAGTTACCCTGTTTAAATAAAACAAATAGATCAATTTTTTTGTTTGTTTAATAAGATGTCTCTCACTTTTTTTTTTCCTTTTCCACAGACAATTCTCAAGTGTTGATCAAGATGCTAAAGAGGAGGCATGGGAGATCATTTTGACAGGTTTGTACCTTCTCTCACAAAAGAGTTTCCCATTTTATGTTCCCATGTATTTTAGTCCAGTAATTTTATGTTCGAAACAAAGACACTGTGAAACTTAGAATGATGGTATACATAATTGATTATGACAAAATCTTGTGATTCAGGAGAGCTAAGGTATTTGTTTCCAGTTCATTGTGACTGTGCCATGGATCAGATGGCCGGGTAGTAGAGTCTCTGCCCGGATTCCAAGATTTGTTCCGACTTGTTTGCAATAAAAAGATCGAGCTCGATGTCTTTAATTACTGGGTGTAGCCAAAAATTTCTTTACAACAGTTAACACTTCTCCCGGGAAGCCTAACATTAAAAATATTACCAGTAAAGATAATCATAGGGAGGACTTGAGGATTTGAATTTGCTCATGGCGATAATCACTTTCCCATTCAACTTTTGATATCCTTAAGTCTTTTTTACTTCACACACATGTTTACATCTATCATACCATGGACCTATTAGGGATGGACATTCAACGTGATTCTTTCTTTGATCCTATGATAGTCACCGCCTTCTGATTATGTGCATCTTAATGAGAAGTTGAGAACATTCAACTGTTTTAACAATAACGACTGCGTAAGCATTTTCGGTCATTGACAAAGGAGCAGTTTCCCTCTCTTGGGTTGTATTTGGATGGTGTGCTCTGTAAGAGTGTGTCTTAAATAAAAACATCCCCAATGGGGAGCAGCAAAGTTGAAAAGCAGACGATTTTGGTGATATGAAATGTATTATTACTGATTCGCACACTTTCGCACTGATAATGATCCTAAGCTCAGACATCTCCTTCTCAATCCAACCAAGATACATCTTATATCAGTTGAGCAAAGCCTTTGAGACAGGCAAACCCTTGATAGATACAAAATTACAAATTGAATATCGTCAGTGGGGTATTGCAAGGGAAAAGGTGTAGCTGTTATTTGTTCCTTGATGTATTCCTAAGTCCCAATAATGTTTTAAACTCATGATATTTTTCAACACACAGCCTGTGCAAGGAATGTGGATGCGCTCACCAAGTTCATTGAGAGTCCTGACAATGACCCTAAGTTCAGACATCTCCTTCTCAACGCAACCAAGATGACCACCTACGTCCTATGTCAGCTGACCGAAGCGTTTGAGACAGAGGCTTGTAAACCCTCGACAGATACCGCTACCATGAAAGGAAGGGTATGTGATGTGTTTATTTGAGCATTTTGATGTGGTTACTCTTGACCTTATTTATCAGAAATTATCCAAGTTCACATATAATTTGTGTTGGGCCATGCAATTGTGATTCTATTGACATGTACAGCTTACCTACTCTATTTCTTGTTTCTTCATGACAGGGAAAAAATTACTTTAAACATTTCGGGGGCTACTTTTCAAGCTTGCTTGCATGAAATAACACTCTTTAACTTGTTTTGCATTGAACTCTATGCAAAATTTGGGGGCTCTTTTAAGACTTTCGAGGGCTCTTTTGATCATTTTGGGGGCTAATTTGCCCCGAGCCCCCGTGTATTTTTCCCCCTGCTTCATGATCCTTGTGGGAGAGCAAATGTTTCAATTTATGTTTTTTGCTGATCAAATAGGTTAATGCCAAACAAACATTTTACTCTAAAGTCTGATTTTTTTAGGGTTCCATGTCAGACTTTTTGTATCTTTTATATCCGAAATATGAGATTTCAATAGGCCTACTTTTTCGTAAAGACCCCCCCCCCCCCCCCCCCCCCCCCCCGCCGAAAAAAGAAAAAAGATCTATTTGAATATATTTAATTTAATTTTTGATAGTCTTCCCACAACCCTGCCAACAATGCTTGGAATTGACCAGAAGTAAAGTGAATGAACTTCTATACCACCACACCTCCAACATGTGAGGACGAAGTGTTAACTTTTCATATATTTTCTATTTCAGGGTCGAGGTAAGAAGACGGTAAAAGCAGGTGCGTGGGACTGGGACAGTGAGAAGGAGAAATCGCTGCAATGCCTCATTCAAACTCTCCAACTTGATATCTGTCGACTATGGGATCCTCCAGTAGTAGAAGAGGAATTTGTCAAGTAAGTAATACACTACTGTAAATCGAAGACGTATAGTAGTGAGTTTTCATAGGGAATTCGACACCATTCTGGTGTTAATAACTGTTTACCCAATAATAGGTGTTGTCAGTCACCAAGAGTGGACTTCACTTTTACGTCGGACAGGTCTTGTTTAGCGCATGGTGCCCTAGCCCTGGAGAGATCTTTTCAGAGACCTTTGCACACACACACATACACATTAATTTTTTGTTGTTTTACCTTCAAGCTATTGTCTTGAACCCTAGATTCCTCTCTTTTTCTGAAGTATTCTGTATGAAAACTATACAAAATAGTGTATTCCTAATTTTGCCTTGAGAGATTCCTCACTTTTGCTATGAGAGGTTGGCAGGTATGCCGTTAGAATATACAGTCAAACCTGCTTTAGTGACCACCTGTCTACAAAGACCATAATTTTTGTTTCCCTTGAAAATGGTTTCTCATTGAACATGTACTAAAGGAACCTGTACATTAAGACCACTTTTCATGTCTCCCTTGGGTCAGTCAGGTGGTCTTTGTAGTCAGGTTTCACTGTATAATAGAAAGATGAGATGACTAGCTGGAAGATGATTACAACTGTATTCATATTGTGTGTTGATAATCTACAGTCTTGTGAGCGGTTGTTGCTATAAGATGTTGGAGAACCCGTCCATCACCAGGAACCATAGCACCAGAGATGTAATCACGCAGACCTTGGGACTTCTCTTCAAAAGATACAACCATGTTCTAGGTGAGTGAGTGTTTGAGTCCTATCCATGGGGCAGTTTTAGCTACCTCGGGACTGTGTTTGGGTAGTAGTGTGAAGTTCTGAAGTCTTCTCCCCAAATAATCCCTCCATGTTCTAGGCAAGTGAACTGAACTAGGGGACCTCTCTATAGATCTATGTATTAGATAATTAACGTTCAGATCTTTGGTCTACCCTTCAAATGATAAAGCCATGGATAATGTGAGTGTCCTGCTCATAGATCTATCCATTTAGGTCTTCTCTACAAAAGGTACAATCATGTTCTAGGTGAGTGAACCAAGAGACCTCAGGGTTTTAGTCCTATCCATTGGGATGTGGTTCTGGGAAATGATTCTACTATTACCAGGTGCTCCTGTTGAGCACCAAGTTGTAATGTTTGTGAGAGGGATTGATGAACTTTAACAAGCAGGGGATTGTTTTAAATCCTTTATCAAGCTTTCTTCTCTTTTATGTTTTCGGGTTGTCCGTCCATCCGTCCGTACGTCCCGCTCTCGTGATCGCGAAGAACCAATTGATGGATTCGTGCCAAACTTGGATCATGCATGCATCTGGCAGAGCTAATGAGCTGATTAGATTTGGGGTCACAAGGTCAAAGGTCAAAAGTCACAGGGTTCATTATGTATGTAAAAACATATATGTATGTAAAAAAATGCATGGACTCAAGCGTGCAGGTTATGTTTACCCTCTCTTCTGTTCTTCATTATGCAGGTGGGACCTTGAAGATGTTACAGCTGGTGCAGCACTTTGAGCACCTACCCGGACCCCTGGCCCAAACAGTACAGACCATTGCTATCCAGTACGGTGTTAAGAGTGTCGTCAATGAAATCATGAGGTAGGTACATGCACATTCACATAATGCTAAAAGGGCGAGGACCCAAATTCTAGACGAGCTTTTGGGTGGGGTGACAATCGCTCAAGTTGGTGTTCTGCCCAACATCCAAGCCCCTCCAGTGTAAATGCTCTATTCAGTATTTTTTGTGCCCTTTCCAGTTCTTCCTATTTGTGCTGTAATATAGGAATGTGCCCTACAGAAAAGTGGCCTTGCCCTAAAAGCACTGAAATTTAAGGCCTGCTGTCAGTATCTTGTGGAAATTCTTTTACCACCCGAGGTTAAGTGAATTTCGCACCTCTAGTCTTACATATATTCTGATAAGAAATATGAGATTTCAAACCCACGTATGAAAAAAAGGAAGAGAAGAAAAAAAAGATGTACTACATGTACACACTGACATTGCAAAAAACAGAAGTGTCCTTATATGAATAACAAACATTTCACAATTTTCACACATAATTGTACCTCTTTTCATATATTTGTATTTGTAAGCGCTATGGTACTTATTGTTTTTAGTGCTCCTAAATATTCGATATTATTATTATTATTATTAGCAATGATTCCAAATTTGAGATATCGTTGTTGTTTTTTGCAGCCATATATAATTAGATGCTCTGTGTGCAAATTTGTACAAATATGTTCTCACTAATTAGCAAAAACTTATGAAAGTTTGTTCTAGTAAACATTTCTTTTGATCTCTCTTGTTTATATTTGAATTGTGTATGCAAGTGGAAGAGATAAGCTTTCTTAGAATGTTACCTATTTTTGTTTTTAGGGGTAGTATAAAGCATTTTGAAAAAATTATAACACTTGTTACCTCTCTGTATTTGACAGGGAAATCGGTAGCATAGACTCACACGATCTGACCAGGGACAACAGTGGGACTCGTTCTTATGCCAGCTTTCTGGTTGAGATGGCTGAACGGGTTCCAGATGCCATGCTACCTTGCATCAGTCTTATTCTGTGTCATCTAGATGGAGAGGTAAGTTATTTAAACAAGACAATTATGGTCAGCATCCAGGAATGAAGTTCTTTTTCTCTCTCACTCTTTTTCTCTCTCTCTCTCTCTCTCTCTCTCTTTCCCCTTTTTCTTTCTCTTTATTTGTCTCTATCTCTATCTTATTCTATCTTTTCTCTCTCCCTCACTCTGTCCCTCTCTCTCTCTCTCCCCTTTATCTTTCTAGCTCTCACTTGTTCCTCTTTCTACCTCTCTCTTGTTCTATCAATTTCTCTCTCTCTCTCTCTGTATATCACTTTCTCCTTTCCCTCTTCTACTTACTCTTGGTTTCTCTCTTTCTACCTCTCTCTCTCTCTTTCTCTCTCTCTCTATTTATATATATATCTCCCTCAATCTCTCCCTCTCTGTCTGTACTTGTTTTTCCTCCTTGACTTCCCTTTTTAATACCACTGGCCTATTGCCAGCTGGCTGTTGTTCAACGTCTGTTCGGATCATTCTGTAGACCATGTATTAGGCAAGCCCTGTTTCATAACACTTATTATCAATAACATGATACGATAATTGTTGTAAACCACTGAAATCCTTACAATTGATTGGCCATGAGCAGATTTTTTCATAGATCTTTGACACTTGTTTTCCATACAAGTTGCAGTGGTACAGAGGGCCCACGCTACACGATCCAAGAAGTATCCTCTTTATTTTTTTAATATTTTGTGTAACTTTTTTATACAAGTCTCCATATTTCAACTCTTCATCAATTTGAGGCGACGTTTTTTTTTTTTTTAATCTCTGAGAGATTCAGATGAGGAATTTTGCGAACAAAACATAATAGATTAAAGATAAAGTTGAGTTCTGGTCATGTGATTGCATTGTGAAAGAAACGGTGTGGAATCTATCAGAAAAGGTTGATCATCTAGTATATAAGTATTTGTGTGTATTGCAAGGTTCTGGAATCATCAAAATGATAAGAAATTTGGCCAAATCTTGTCAAAGTTACAAGAACTGTACACAGAATGATGTATATGGGACTACACGAACAAATGGCGAAAAAAATCCTACCTGGATTTTTACGATGTTTCATGTCATATTTAGAATATGAAGGCATTTGAAGAGCCATGCTTTTCAGGGAACATGTTTAATCTGATGTTCTTCCACCCTTGCACAATAACAATGATAACGCTCACAAATTATTTTTCACCTCTTCCCAGAACTCAACCTTCTCTTTAAAATAATTGATATTATTGATGCAACATTATGTTACAAATGATCATACTTGAACCTTTTGTGGCAGTCCTACACCATGCGGAACGGAGTGCTAGGAGTCATAGGTGAGATTGTTATCAAAGTCCTGAGCAAGGAACAGCTGGATAAGAAGGCTAAGACTGCCAGAGATCAACTACTGGACAAACTTGAGGTAAGGAAATTCATATGTAATTTAGTTCTTGGGTTTGTACATCTTTCCTGGCTGTTTGGAAATAATCCTGCCATATTGTAGAGTGAGACCCAGAATCAACTGGGAAGAGAATGTCAAGAACTGGAGTGGACTAAAACTGCAAGAGTGCACCATAATGGCAGAAGATAGAGTGAAATGGAGAGATGTTGCAATCAACCACCGAACTGGGAGAAGATACCTAGACAGATAGATAGATTGTATGGTATTTGGAAACACTGAATAAACATTGATATGTATCTAAAACTTTCATGTGATGATGCTGCCAGGACACAAATGCTGAGCCTAAATCCCCTAAGCAGAATTTTGTCATAATCTGTAACTCATTGCTTTTATTGGACACAAGGCCAAGCGTATTTACATGTTCCTCTTTTTAAGATGAGAAGTCAACCCATCTGACAGTGTGAAAGTGTTCACTGAATCTCTGACACTGAACAGAACAAAAATCCACGCTGTTATTATTATCCAGGGGGGTGTTTCACAAAGATCCTAAGTCGAACTGAACTCTAAGTTAGACTTAAAAAATTATACAGAGCCACTAAAATATACTCAAAAGCGAGAATTCAAGTATTTTAGACTTTTTATAAATTCCACAAGAACATGAAATCTCCTTGATGATGGAAAATATGAATGATTTGAATCAACATTTTATGCCTTTTAGAAAAACTTTTACAAAATATTTTCATAGATGCTAACGGCTTTCCATAATTGTTAAGTCCAACTTAGAGATAAGTTCAACCTAGGATCTTTGTGAAACACCCCCCTGGTATTCCTTCACCGTAGGACCACATCCATGATGTCAACGCTTTCAGCCGTAGTCGTGCCCTGCAGGTCTGGCTTCACCTGTGCCGTGAGCGCGCCATTCCCCTGTCCCGACAGCACACCGTCATGGAGCTCACCATCGGCCGTCTCAGGGACAAGTCTAGCATCGTGCGCAAGGGAGCCGTCCAGCTCATTTCGGCCTTCCTCACCAGCAACCCTTTCGCAGCCAAGGTGAGAACGAAGATAATCATGGAGTCTATTGACAGTGGTTTGTGTGCTTGTAATACAGGCAGGGTGGTATCTTAATGGTGGTGAGGCGTGATGGCTTAGTGGTAGAGCAGTGGTCTCGTAACCGGGAGGTCCCAGGTTAAAAAATGATTTGATGCCCTAGTGCCCTTTAGCATTGATCCTCATTACCAAGTCCTTCAGAGAGGACTTTATAAGCTGTCCATACAAGCTATCCATAGCTGTCCATACCCTGGTTGCTTACTTTCAAGCAAACACCTGCTTTCTCAGCAGTCGGACAAAAGAAACAAACCACCAACCAATGGTGGATGGTCCAATTTCTTTACTCTCCTGCCCTGGGATATGCCCTTATCGAACAACCTATTGAGATCACCATGTAATGTATAACATCTGGGGGGTCTTGCGTAAACGATTAGGGTCGTGAGGTCAAAGCTCAAAGGGTCATACATGTATACAATAAATAGCTTGTAATCAACGATATTCTGAGAACCTGTTTATGGATTACAATCAAACTTGAATTTGAAACATTGCTTCTGTTCTGGTTATATACAATTGCTCTATGGCGGAGGCATCATTGTCGACTGCGTGCAGTGGAACATCCATCTAGTTTATTTGTTTGTTTGTTTGTATGTAGCTATCTGCAGAGGCGTTACAGGTCAACTTGGAGAAAGAACAAGAGAAGCTGAAAGCAATGATGCCTGATGAGCCAGAGACAGTTGCTAATGGTAAGTAATTCAATACAATACCACAGGGACTGTGAAATTTACTAATTTCCCTTCCCTTTTACCATCCCCAGTATCTCATAGACTGTCATTCTATGTCTCTCTCTCTCTCTTTCTTTTACTCTCTCTCTCTCTCTCTTTCTCTCTTTTTATCTCTTTCTCTTGCTTTCTCTGTCTCTCTCTGTCTCTCTCTCTCTCTTTCTCTCTTTCTCTTGCTTTCTCTGTCTCTCTTTCTCCCCCCCCCCCCTTCCTCCCCCTTTCTCCTCCCCTCCTCCTCCTCTCCCTCCTCCCGCTATGTGTGTCTCCCAATCTCCCCCTCTCATTGTCTCTCTCCCCCTACTTCCCTCTTTCTTCCTGTCCACTCTCGCCCTCTCCTTTTCTCTCTTTCTCTTGCTTTCTCTGTCTCTCTTTCTCCCCCCCCCCCCCTTCCTCCCCCTTTCTCCTCCCCTCCTCCTCCTCTCCCTCCTCCCCCTCCTCCCGCTATGTGTGCCTCCCAATCTCCCCCTCTCATTGTCTCTCTCCCCCTACTCCCCTCTTTCTCCCTGTCCACTCTCACTCTCTTCCTACGTCACCCCTTCTCCTTGTGTATCTTCCAGCTTGATATTATCTTTGAAATATATCAAACTGACGTAAAAATGACTCCCCCCCCCCCCCCCCATCAAAGAAAGTAAAGATACATACAAAAGTAGCGAAAATAGAACATAAAACCTAAACATCTTTCATGTGGTGTCTTACATTGTCCTTGTAGATGTGAGCCGTAATCCTGTGGATAACTGGACAGCGATGGAGCCCGAGATCAAGACTACCATCCGAAAGATCTTGGAGGAGGAGTCAGAGGATGAGGAGAGTTTGATCCAGATACCGGAAGATGCATCTCCATTGGAGTAAGTCTCTTAAATCCCCACTGTACTACTTGTAGCTACTTGCTCCCTCTATGGAGAAAACTTCCCCAATCGGTGCCTAAAGGTTTATAATAATCATTCCAGCAGGAGCTAAGTCCAGAATTTTGTTTCAGAATCTGAGACAAAGTTACTGGATCCCTTTAAAACAATGAGTTCAATTATTATAATTACCAGCAGGGCCCCGTCTAATTACAAAGAGTTGATATCAATAGCAACTATGTACATAAGAGATAGGAGATTGCAAACTTGTGATGATAGATTTGAGGACTTGCGATTGATTTGGGGTCTAGGCAATTGCAGTAATGAAAACAATTTTTTTTTAAATGTATTTATTTATTCATTTGTTTTATTTCAACAAGGTAACTCTCTCAGTATTCAAACTGCTTTCCTGAGAGGCCCCGTTCAGTTATAGGTTACAAATATACAGAGAAAACTGAAGATCTCTCTCTCTCTCCCTCTCTGTTTCTCTCTCTCTCTCTCTTCCTCTCTCTCTCTCTCTTCCTCTCTCTCTCTCTCTCTCTCTTCCTCTCTCTCTCTTGCTCTCTTCCTCTCTCTCTCTCCTCATGCCATAATCATAGACTGTGGTGATCAAGCTGTTCCTCAACTCGATGTCTCTAGCATTCTCAAAAAAATCTAATTGATATATAACTGGTTTGTGATAGAAGTCACAAGGTCCGGTTTTTATTTTGGAATCACCTTTAAGTTTTTTGCATGACATCTAAATTATTTGTGCAGATTGGGATAGATCATTATTCACTATCCCCAACTAATCTTCATCAATGACACAATATCTGTAGCTTTTTTGAAGTCTTTGTCTGTAATTTGTTGGCAAAATGTGACTCAATTTGCATAAGAGTGTGTGACATTAATCAAGTTTTGCACAAAATAAGCAAGTTCACGGTTGTAGTCTGAGCATGAGCAGATAATGGTCATTGCAGAACAAATTGTGAAATGCACGTAGACAAAGCACTGGATACGTGCTCAAGAAAGTTATGTAATCATTATTCATTCATGCACAAGTAGTGCACGTCCATGATACACTGGTGGAAGTATTCTTTGAAAAGGGGAAACAGAGGCTATTTATGTAGCACCTCCATCGCTGTAGGAGTGATTATTTCAAAATGTACAAAGTGGGACCTCTTCATGTTTTGAAGATCTGTGGATATTTGGGTTCATTGCAGCCATGTGCTAACCGTGAGCTGGTCTATTAGCGGCACTTATTCAAGTGTTAGTTTGTGCTCGTTAGACAGGTGACCCTTCTGTGCGGGCATTTGTCATTGTTTTTATACCGGTGTGTTGGCTCAGTCAGTAGAGCGTCCGCCTCACAACCGGGAGGTTGTGGGTTCGAACCCCGGCCGCGTCATACCAAAAGACGTTAAAAGACGGTAGTTGCTGCTAACTTGTTTGGCGTTCAACAATAAGGGATAGAGCAACGTCGACCTGGCGCTGCTCAGCGGCTGCCGGACTCAGGATCAACTGGGCAAAAAGAATTTCCATTTGGAGTGGACTTTAAAAGATTATTATTATTATTATTATTTTATTTTCAGTACTATTGATGAGATGATTGAACTCCTTGACAAGTCCCAGCACACCAAGGCAATCACGTTGCTCCAATCTGCCCAGAGCTGCTGGCCTGATCATCAAGCGTTCATCCCCCTCTCTTCAGAGGAACCCAGGTAAGTCTGTCAGTGGAAAAAATACACGGGGGCTCTGGGCGAATTTGCCCCCAAAATGCCCAAAAGAGCCCCCGAATATCAGTTCAATGCAAAACAAATTTTAGAATGTTTTATTCATGCAGGCAAGCTTGAAAAGTTGCCCCCGAAAATAAATATTAATATTTTCCTTGAAGTTTGTTCATTATTGATTGTGTGATGAACCTTGTTGTATTCATGTCCCCAGAGAGTAGAGATGGTGCACATTGTGCGTGAATGAATCCGATGACCGTGGTAATAATATCTGTAAAGCGCTTAGAGAAGGTATTCCGTATTAATCGCTATATAAATCCAGATTATTATAATTGTTATACAATGCAGCATAATTTGTTTGGAACGGGTGCAGCTTCTTTGTGGCAGGATGTACATATGCATTTGTGATGGGTTAAATTGGACACCTGTTCGATAAATGATGTCAGTTTTCAGGCCTTTTAAAGCTAATAGGTTAAGAAAAACATCTTGTCCCTTTGTCTGTTTGTTCGTTTGTTTTTCTCCTTTGTTTTTGTTGTTGTTTGTTTTCTTTTTTTCTGTTTTATTATGTTAGCATGATTAGTTTTACTGATCCCTTCACATTGTATCTGAAGTTTTGTCTTTATTCTTGTGGTCTATCAATGATGTTTTAGGATTGTTTTCTGAAGATTGTTGTCAGTTCTGTTTGTATGTTTTGTTCGTTTATTGCCTCTTCATTGTAGTTTGTTTTAATCTGTTTATCACATAGCCATTCTGCGTGTTCATCTGCCATACTGTACCTTACTGATTGCAGGGCCCTCAGGGAGAACAGTATGAATACTGATGAGGCTACCCTGGGTAAACAAGACATATTATTATTATTATTATTATTATTATTATTATTATTATTATTATTATTATATCTTATTACATCTTAATCTTTTGCTCCCCATAGATCTGATGACGAGGATGAAGAGCTTTCTTCTGATGGGAAGGATCTCCTACAGATGCTCAAGGCTATCTACCTTGGTAAGAATTATACAAACTTTCTAACATATTATGTAACTTACGTAACAAAGTAATTACTTTTTGTTTTGCCCGTTTATTTTTGCTTTATTCCTATGAGATAATTTCGCATATGCTGCGGTGAAATTAGATTTTAAATAAAATTGTTCTTTGGGTAATCGATACTCTTTTTCTTTCTTTTTTCTCATGGCTCTTTTCTCTGTAATTTTTAAAGAATTTTCAAACTAAAATCACTCACCATGCCCTCTCTTATTCTGCGATAAATTATGATGAGCAGGCAACAAATATTACAAATCAGTTTATGACCACAGGTCTAAATAATGTGTCCACCTCTCACCTGCCTCTCAACCCACTATAGACCAAAGATGACTACCAGTCGCTTTGATCCAGACCTGCCAACCAGTACGATTTAGTCATATTTCGTACGATTTTTAGAAGCAAATACGACAGTACGATTTTCCTCAATAAAATATGATTTTTCAAATTACTTTTTTTTTCAAAGATTTTTTGGGGTTTACTTTGTGTGTGTGTCTGCCATTTTCAATGGCAAAATGCCCATTCTGTCCTGTAAAGTGTCGTACAAGCATCTCACACCAGCAATTTGGGGATGTTCATTTGGTTCATCGAACACAACAGTCATGATGAAATCATGCATATTCAACCAATGATCCATTAAAAAAAATTCTTCCGCGTAACATCCGTGTTCATTTTTAAGAATACAGCTTTTGTCAGTAAAATACAACTTTTGGGATCAAAGTATACAGATTTTGAACTCCAAGAGGTTAGCAGGTCTGTTGATCGTATCGGGTATCTTCAAATTTATCTACCTGAATTAAAGAAATTAGATGAATGGCTCTTTGAGGCTTGAGCATTAAAACTGTGTGACTGTGTGTTTGATTTTGTAGGTACAACATCGTCGACCCCTGTACCTGATGGCTACAACCCCGCTGACCTGGTCAAGATGGGTGAGGATGGAGAACCAGAGGTCAAGATGACCGAGGTTGAGGATGATAACCCAGTGGTCAACGAGCTCAGCAAACAACAGATCCTTGTCCAGTACCTATCTGTGAGTAAACTCTCAAGATCTGATCAAACTAAAAGCTTTCATGACTTGAAACTTTTGTTAATTGTAAAATGTAACCTGCTAGCAAGTGTAGCAAGGTTCTGGAATCATCAAAATGATAAGAAATTTGGCCCAGTCTTGGTAAAGTTACAAGCACTGTACACAGAAAGATTTATATGGGACTACGCACACGTGCGCGACACGTGCATTATATCTATCACATCCAAATAGATATAATAATTTACCAAATATATCAATTAGTAAGCGGTTTCTCTGCAAAATTTGTATGATCACGTATTAGTCAAAACATATTCTTTCACATGATTGGTAGTAAGAGCTTCCATTTCATTTTTTGAGAGGGGGGGCGTTTCCAAACTGGTCTTTACCTTTAATAAATTCTAACAAATGCATATGGATGACTATATTCCATTACAGCCTGAGAGAAGCAGAAGCAGATGATAACATGGAATTTAGTTATCTTAATTTTTATCAGATTTCATTTCCAAGAACACAAAGAAATACAACTGTAACAAAGAATAAAAGATAACCAAATTCATTCTGGATTTAAGTAGTACAGTCAAACCTGCTTTAGTGACCACCTGTCTACAAAGACCACATTTCTTGTTTCCCTTGGAAATGGTTTCTTGTTGAAACATGTACTAAAGGAACCTGTCTACAAAGACCACTTTTTGTGTTTCCTTTGGGCGGTCGCTATACACAGGTTTGACTGTATATTCCTCATTTAAGTAACCCTAAAAAAAATAGTAGTACGGGTATGTGTTTTCTTCCTGCTCTCTACAGGATTGTGTCAAGTTTGCCGGTATGGTGAAGATGTGTGTCCCGACCGTCTGTGAGCTTCTATCGTCCAAGCAGACCACCGACATCCTTGAAGCGGTCAGCTTCTTCGTCACTGCCCATGAGTTTGGGGTGTCCAATGCAGCGGACGGTGTCCTGCGCATGATGGGGCTCATCTGGTCCAAGGAACAGTCTGTCAAGGACGCGGTGGTGACCGCTTACAAGAGACTCTACCTCAACCCCAATGGAAAGACCGTCAGGTAAGGATGATAGATAAGGTTTACCTGTATGGTCACCCAAAGCCTATTCCTGCTCAAAAGAATTTAAATTAAAGCCTATCTGCACCAGATTGGCCAGGAGGGATTAGACCTCCCTGCATGGTCAATGACAGGTAGTTATCTCATCAAATCAGCTCTCAATTAACATAAGAAAAAGAGGATCATGGGGGACCAACGGGCACTGATTAGGCATTGAGGGAGCAACTAGCTACAAGTAGTACAGGGGGGCTGTAATTAATGTGTTTTTCATGGTTTGTAGATAAATTCTGAAGCTTTTTCATTTAGATTTTGGTTTTAAGAAGAGATAACATCACATTTATTCTATGTTTATAGTAAACTCTCATTCTATATAAAAGATTTATACTACTTCTAAGTTTTCATTTTGTTTTAATATGACAGAGCAAGAAGTCTGGCTGTCGTGCGTAACCTGCTGCAGCTGACCTGCGGGGCAAGCCTCGGGGAGCTGACCTCGTTGGAGGAGATGGTGGCTGAGTTCACCAAGAATGGGGAATTCCCCTCCCAGACCACTCAGATCCTATGGGAGTTCTTTACCATGAAGCATCCAGAGACCACGCCCGCTGAGAGCAGGGCAGCGCTTCAGCTGCTCGGAATGGCCGCTCGGTATGTTGGTTTCAGAAGTGTGGCCACAAAAGGGCAAATATAATACCTCCATCTACTTTTTGCAAATTCCACCTAGTTTGTGCTCAATGCTGTGAAGCATTCATGAATATCGCCCACATGCAAAATTTGTGAAAGTTTTTAGTTTTACCATTTTCATTTAAACACGGAAGGAGCCTTACGTTACCAGGCAAGAAGGTGGGTATCACTTTGACCATACCGTTCAAAATCAGTCGTTCTTCCATAAGTGACTCAGAGAGTCCATATTATTAATCAGTGTTTCACATCTTTGCCTATCAACAATGACCCAGAATATTAACATCTTGTTCCCATTGACTCAGTAATTTGTGTTCTCTTTGTGCTTATTTTCCTAAGTATTCAACACTATATTTATTTGAGGGTAATATACAGTCAAACCTGCTTTAGCAACCACCTTTCTACAGAGACCACATCGTTTTGTTCCCCTTGAACCTGGTTTATCATTGAAATCTGTACATGAATAGCACCACTTTCCTATAAAGAACACTCTTCAGGTCCACCTTGAGCAGCTTTATATACAGAGTTCACTGCATTTCTTTTTTATCAATTTTGCTTCTGTATTTTGTTTTTAATTACTCAACGGTACATATTTGTGTGAAAGTTCTTCATATTTTTCTGTCTTTTTCCCCTTTTACCAATATTTTTTTCACTCCATATTTGTATTATTATGTATCCTTTGAGGGTAGTCATACTATCAAGCTTTGCTTACTTTGTCAACCCTCCTGTTTGATGCTTTCGATTAGTTACAGCCAGCCTTACTTTATTCTACATATATTCTTTTGTCATATGTAAATTTGCAATGTTTGTTTGTTACATATTTGTAAAAATGCAAAAGAAAAAAAAAATCAAATAGAAATGATTAAATCAAAATAAATCAAAATCAAATTTATATTTCTTTGTATTCTCTTCCTCAGTGCTGATCCTGGCATTATTCACAGCAATGTTGAGGTGCTGGTGTCCGAGGGTTTGGGAGAACGAGGGACGAAAGACTTTATCCTTGCCAAGGATACGTGCCTTGCTCTACTCAAACTGGTTGGCAGTGAAAAGGTATGTACAGCTTTCGCTTAAAGTTAAAAGACCAGTTTTGGAAATGACCCCCTCTCAAAAAATGAAATGAAAGCTGTTATTACCAATCATGTGAAAGAATGTGTTTTGACTAATATGATACAAATTTTGCAGAGAAGCCGCCTACTAATTGATATATTTGGTAAATCTATTTGGACCTGATAGATATCGCGCACGTGTTGCGTAGTCCCATATACATCTTTCTGTGTACAGTGCTTGTAACTTACAAAGGCTGGGCCAAAATTATTTTGATGATTTCTGAACCTTGTATTACACGCCAATACTTATATGCTAGAGGATCAACATTTTCTGATCGATTCCACAACATTTCTTTCACAATGCAATCGCATGACCATAACTGATCTTTATCTTTAATGGAATCACTCTCTGCATGTGCAAGTCTGATTAAGTAGTTCCATTCTGGCAGCAGTCAGGGAAAATAATCATATGATGGGAAGGGGGAGGGGTAGGGTCTATTGAAACTTTTCTGTGTGAGATGACACAGAAAATTGCCTGTTTGGTCTTTTTATATGTAATAATAATAATAATAATACAGCATTTATTATGCGACATCGATCTAATCAACTATTCTGAGGCGCAGAGGGATAGAATTAGAACGGAATACATAGAGAAATGAGAAGGGGGGGGGGAACTGTGCTTTAACCTGAAGGCCCCATTAGTCTTCAATCCTCATAGTGTTATCAGCCCATGTCCTGCAAGAACCACTTTAAAAAATACTCTCATATTTTAAAGGTTTGGGAGTGATCATAAAAACCTAGAGAGACAAAAATCTAAAAATTGTTATAGTTCAAAAACAATTAAAGGTTTTAGATTTATAACTACATGTAATAGTACTTGAAACGCAGCGTGTGTAACAGCTGTACTGCTAAAGCCAGGGTAATTATGCTGCATTATTGTAGAGCGCTTAAAGACTTCTGACAAAGTAAGTGTTAGGCGCTATATAAGTACTGTAATTATTATTAGTCATTAAAGTTTGAGGTAGAGAAAACTGCTTGTACTACTTTCATGTAAGATTGCTTGTGAGTTGTGACACATATTGTCTTGGAGCTGGAGTTCTTTACATGAAAATATACATTATTTATAATTTTGTAATCTCTGCGCCAGCAACCAAAACTGTGAAAGAAATCTTGTAGAATATCTTGAATAACAAATCTTGTAGAATATCTCGAATAACCTGACTTTTCATTTTCATCAACAAAAATTTCCATTCCAGCCCAAAGTTTTGAGCGGTAAGGAGCAGTACAGGTTGGCCAGCACGCATGAGATCTTCAGTAGACTTGGGGATATCCTTGTTCAGGGTAAGTCAGTGTGAATCTTGAACCTTGATGAGATAATCTCTGAAGCAGCTCATTTTCCAAGCTAAACTGGGATGGGATGAGTTGTGATAGCAGGTTATGATGCGCAAACAACAACAGAAAGGTGGCAATTTTCTGTAACACGCCGATCACACGCGGAAACTGGTAGAAAATACTCATCACACCATTCGTTGCGTTGCGGTTCTTTTTATTTCAGGTGCAAAGTGAACAAAGCTAAAGTAAGCTAAAGTAAGCTAAAGCTAAAGCTAAAGCCCTGGCAATCTGGCCTAGAGGACTGTTTCCTCTCGTTCCTGCTTCTTACATGTTGATTGTAATTTGTCAACACCTATATAATGACATGTTACACCAAAAGCTTGCAGAGTCGACCTCCCTGCCTGCCCCATGGATGGGGTTGCAGTACAGGAGTGAATCTGACAAATACCTCTGCCTTCTTTTATAACAGCTACACTCTCACGAAGATATAGCTACCACACATAACCTGTTCTGGGAAAGGGTCTTGTTATTGGGAGGGAGACAGGAAGTCTTTTGTTTTGGGGGTTCTTATCCGATGTATACAATTAGGGGTTTGTTTGGCTAAGTTATTATAAGTGTTCTGGAAGGGGGGGGGGGGTCGAGTTACTAACCTTTGACCAAGTGACCGTACATCATTAACTCTCTCATAGCTGTGGAATGTCATGTTTTGGCCAAATTGATAGCTTCTTCTCAGAATATGTGTGAGTCATACTTCTTTGAAGTACAAAGTTTGTTAACATATAAACTTCTTACTTTCCTCCTGAGGAGATATTGATTAGAAATAGATATATATTTTTCACTATAAAACAGTTCAATTCTGACCTGTTACACACTCCCCTACTTAATTGAGTGTCGTCCCGACACTCAGACTACAACAAAATTATATTTAATTCCCTCTATACCTTGTCCCCATCGTGGCTGTTTCCCGATCCTAATACCGATGCCTAATTACCAATATGCAAATCAAAATTAACCATGTGATTAGAACTATTTTTGCATAATACAGAATATAAAAATTGAAATCATAACACATTATTGGCCAACCCGCACCACTAATACAAACTTTCTGGTCTCATGACGAGAATCACAGAAAACATATCTAGTGCAAAAACTCATCTGTTTCAGTCATTCTAGCACTCCTTATTATGTAAAACTGGTCTCATGTCGAGGCTCCTAGCATTCACAAATTATCTAAGTACTACCCAACTGATCATAACAGTTCCGGAGTCTCTACTGCCAAACCTTAGTTATCAACATAAATCTTCATATTACAGACATCTCTAACAAGCCAGATAATTTTCATGGTATATGTATACCCAATTATTCTACCCTGTGTCATTCTAAACACACAAAAACAATAATCGTCCTTATAGTACGTTTACACACTCTAGCAAATACAGCAGTAAAACTATCAACTATATTTCGTAACAACCTTGCCCTACGGATATTCCTTTCGCATATTAAACTCCTAAGATACAAAAATTCGACAATGCGATATACAAAGAAATCTTATAACTTTTGGCTAATCCTCTCCGCTACCAATGTGCCTTTTCCGGCCTCTCTACGAGGTTAACAGAAAAACAAAGGCAGAGAGATAAACCCTACTGTTCCTAAAAGTCGCCCCAGTATTTCTTCCATGAATGATTCCGGTCTCATGTCGAGGTTTTCGGAATAAACATTAAATACTCTATCCCGACTAAGTCCAACAGTAATTCGAGCCAAATCCCAGTTACATACCAGAAATCTCGGTATAAAACAATACAATATCCATTACACAACACACGCGTTACTTCGAATTGCTGACCCAAACTGAAACAACATTTCACGTTCATGGGCTCCCCTGCTTTTTCAAAAGCAGTCTCTAAAACTAAAAAATATATCCACCATGCATATCAATTCAATAAATGTAATATACATGCTACAAGTACAACCTAACTTACCTAAGTTACCAAAACTTTAACAAATGTCTTGCCAAACTTTAAATATCAACAATTTACAAGTTCAAATAAAGAAATATTCCAACTATTCATAAGTGATAAAGCTAGAGCTATACCTTCTCTACACCTACATGTACTGCTATCCCTCCTATCAATATATAAAATACCGGTGTCTTTGTATGCCATCCCTTAATTTGAGGCTCCATCCAACCAGCCGAAATTAAATACGAAAGGGGGTATGGATTGTTCCAAACACAGTATTATCATGACAGTCTCAACAACAACATATGAATAGTATTACTCCTTAATTTCCCCAAAACAATTTAAACTGAATACATTAAAGTATTCCATTACAAGATAATTTCAAAAAAATTACCCTAAACAAACAATTAGCTACAACACTCATACAATACACACAATCATTGTATCTTAAATCTACGTCGATATTTACACGTTTCTAGACATCTGTGTCCGATCGAGTTGTCCCACACGGATGTAGAAGCTCCACAGAAAGCCAGGGCTTGCACTTGCAGTGATGAAATCCCTGCCGATTACGCCATTTGTAACACGCCGATCACACGCGGAAACTGGTAGAAAATACTCATCACACCATTCGTTGTGTTGCGGTTCTTTTTATTTCAGGTGCAAAGTGAACAAAGCTAAAGTAAGCTAAAGTAAGCTAAAGCCCTGGCAATCTGGCCTAGAGGACTGTTTCCTCTCGTTCCTGCTTCTTACATGTTGATTGTAATTTGTCAACACCTATATAATGACATGTTACACCAAAAGCTTGCAGAGTCGACCTCCCTGCCTGCCCCATGGATGGGGTTGCAGTACAGGAGTGAATCTGACAAATACCTCTGCCTTCTTTTATAACAGCTACACTCTCACGATGGTATAGCTACCACACATAACCTGTTCTGGGAAAGGGTCTTGTTATTGGGAGGGAGACAGGAAGTCTTTTGTTTTGGGGGTTCTTATCCGATGTATACAATTAGGGGTTTGTTTGGCTAAGTTATTATAAGTGTTCTGGAAGGGGGGGGGGGGGGGTCGAGTTACTAACCTTTGACCAAGTGACCGTACATCATTAACTCTCTCATAGCTGTGGAATGTCATGTTTTGGCCAAATTGATAGCTTCTTCTCAGAATATGTGTGAGTCATACTTCTTTGAAGTACAAAGTTTGTTAACATATAAACTTCTTACTTTCCTCCTGAGGAGATATTGATTAGAAATAGATATATATTTTTCACTATAAAACAGTTCAATTCTGACCTGTTACATTTCTATACGCCTATATAAAAACAGTCCAATGTTTAAAAAACAAATGAAACTGACCTTTTATTCTGAGTACCATTTAAATTTACCTTCTAAACCTTTTTGCCCCCCTCCAATTTTAAATTATTTCATACATGTTTATAACCTGATGATAATAACCTGATTCAAAACGGTTTCCCAATTTTTTTTCTTTCTGTATCTTTCTTCCTGACTTTATCCGGATTTTCCTGATTTTTCCCTTATTTTCTATATTCTTCCTGATTTTTCCCAATTTTTTTTTTCCTAATTTTTTTACTCAAAAGGGGAAATGTTGTTAGATGCCATTTTTTTTCCCCCCGCGAAGCCTCTTTTTTTCTTTCTTTTTTTTTTTTTTTCTTTTTTTACTCAAGGGGGGCGTGGTTGAGGGAAAAAAACAAGCCCATTTTTAGTTTTAGTGCTCACTATCACCCCTGCACTATCTTTAAATCCACTTACCAGGTATGACCGATCTAGAGAACAAGTACTGGGTGCCTCTAGCAGAGACCGCTGTGAAGACCATCTACCGTCTCGCTGAACACCCTGACACTCTCTGCGGTGACTTACTCAAACGCCTCGCCGCTGTGCTACTGGCTAGCAGGGAACAGTCTCCAGAAGTGGCCTCAGAAGAGGCAACAGAGGGTGAAGAGAAAAGTAAGGTGGTGTTTTTTTTGTTTCTTGTTCTTCGAAGAGTAGCACTTCAGAAAAGTAGACTTACAATGTATTACTAGTATTTCTAGTGGTGTAAAATTCACTTTATGTATTCCCTTTATTTGAGGGAAGCCTTTGATAGTCTGTAAGGAAAACAACACCTCACTAGATTTAGATTTGTTCAAAAAACATTATATTTCTAGACAGACAGCAGTTTGCAAATCCTACAGACTTAGGTAGTATTTACAGCACAGTCATTCATATGTCAAATTCCTTGAGCACCAAACTATATGTAGATCCTTCCTATAGAGTGTAGTGAGAGGGAACTATTTGGAGGTCCATAAATTGACCTTTGAGTCTGCACACAGGCAAGTGTCAGAACTACAGTCAAAGCTGCTTTAGTGATCACCTGTCTACAAAGATCATTTTTTGTCTTTCCCTTGGGTGGTCACTACAGACATTTTCAACTGTATCTCTCTCTACTAGGTACATATATATCTTCAGATTACTGGACAATGCTCCTTTTAGTTCCCCTTTATAGCATTTAATACACCATGATGTGATATGATATAATCAAGCATTTTTCGTCTTCTGTTTAGGTCCAACGACTGGTTGTCCATCAGGTTTATTATCTCGTCTGATGGCCATCTCTGGTCAGATCGCCCTTCAACAATTGATCCACCTCGATGTGATGGTGCAGTGTGAGCTCAAACGAAGACACAATGTTCAAGAGAAGAAGAAGGAAGATAAGAAGGAGAAAGCAAAGGTAGGGTTTTCGTTACACTGTATGTAACTCAGGGCTCCATACCAACAGATGCACTGCGCACATGGGCACCCCAAAATAAGCCCAGCCCCCATTTTTTATTAAACTGCAATATAGGGCTCCTGCATGTTGTAGACCCCCAAATTTCAAACTGAACTCAGGTAGAAATGGTTAGTGTGGAGCCCTGCCTAACTTAGGAAGGACTTGTCATAAAAGCCATTTATTCGAGATTGAAATGTTGTTTCACCAAGGTGAATTGAAGGGTCATCTTGGTCAATCAGGTTGACATAGACCCCTGTTACACAAACATCTGAAAGTGGAAGTGGACTGAGGCCGGCCCCTGTTTCTTTCTTCTATCACCTTCTCTTATGTTATTCTTTGCTTTTATAATTCTATCACTTTCTCTTTCTGTCTTTCCTTATGTTATTCTTTGTTTCTTCATTCTATCACCTTTTCTTATGTTATTCTTAGTTTTTATAATTCTATCACTTTCTCTTTCTGTCTTTCTGGAGTGCGCCCCTACGTCGGCTCGTGAAAAGGCGACGTGAGGCCGGCCTATGTGTAGACGCAAAATTGCAGGGCCAGAGATATGTGTAACAGGGGTTTGATGATCTCGAGGCGGCTTCAAATTGCAGGCGTGAGGCCACCTCCGAAGCCGTTGTTTAAAATAGAAACCCCCATTTGACTTTCACTACTCCTAGAGCTAAGCCTAAAGTAAACACTAGCGCTATATAATGTAATCACCCTGCCGAGACCTTGGCGAGGTGATAGAGAGGGAGAGAGAGATAAGCATGATAGAGGGAAAGAGTGTTGTTATATCGCCAATTCTGGGTCATTTTGCATTCGTTCAAACTTTCATTATTTTCTTCATCTAAATTTTAAGTGACTTTTGGACATGAAAATATCTTAAAACAAGTAAAATACCGGTATATATTTCCTACTTCTCATTTCCTTTCAGGCAGAACCCCAATAAGAGTTTGTTTACACTATTACGTAAGATGATGAAGAGTACAGCTGCCATCTCTCACACAGAACTGCAAGGCTCTGTCCAAGTTTTAACGAGAGAAAAAAAAGTGGGGTCCTGATACCCTACCTGATTTACATTGACGCCTGTGTTATAGTGGTGGCTCTGTCAAAGTTTTAACGAGAGGACCGAAAGAGGGGTAGTGATACCCCGTCTGATTTACATTGGTTTCTGTGTTATAGTGGTGGGGTATAGTTTCAACGAGAGCTTTCGTAATGCATACTGTTATTCTACTTTTGAATTAAGGTACTGGAAAGTGACTAGTTTTCAAATTATGTATGAATATATTAGCAAGCAGTGGGTCTACCTGTGAACATTTTTGTCTTCATTTTGATGTTCCTGTCCTATGATAACAGGTGGCGATGACATACATGTAGAGCTCGCATCCGCTTTGATGAATAATAATAATAATAATAATCTTTTAAAGCCCACTCCAAATTTTATTAAACCGAAAATGGAAATTCTTTTTGCCCATTTGATCGTGAGCCCAGCAGCCACTGAGCAGCGCTAGATCGAAGTTGCTCTATCCCTTTAATGTTCAACGCCAAACAAGGTAGCAGCAACTCTCGCCTTTTAACGTCTTTTGGTATGACGGGGCCGGGGTTTCGAACGCGGACGCTCTACTAACTGAGCCAACACACCAGTTGTAATTAAAATCACACAATGAATTACCCTGACAATATAAGTAAGTTTGTGTTTGTTTGTTTTGATAAGTTGCTTGTATGTTTATTTATTTATTTTGTTGTTGATTCCAGAGTGAAGGTGATAATGCAAACATAGAAGATGAGATGGGTTTAGCCGGAGCTACAGCCGAAGATGCGGAAGGAGAGTTCATCAGGCGCATCTGTGATACTGGTATTGTGACAGGTAAGTCATTGGACTATCATCAGCATCATCATTTCTATCATAGGGATTATGTTCTTCATTACACAATTTATGAACAGAAATATGAACATCATTCACTAGTGTTGTGACAGGTACATGTAGGTCATTGGAGTATCATCATCATCATCGTCATCATGTTCCTCATTACCCAATTTATGAAAAAAATATATGAACACCATTCGCATCGTCTTCAAATGGTGACGCAACATCTTAACTGGGCTTTATTTCATCATAAACATTTGGTTAGGGTTAGGGTTAAAGTTATGAATTCACTTGGTGTAGGAATTTAACTGTAGAGCCACTGTCGATGGAGCATGTGTTGCAGAACCCTTCAAAACTCATCTTGTAACCTTTACGATGCCGATGAAATGGTCATTTATTAGTTCCCTAAGTCATTAAGTCATTAATTCATATTAAAGATAAAGGTGAGTTCTGGTAATGCGATTGCATTGTGAAAGAAAAGGTGTGGAATGGATCAGGAAAGTTGATCATATAGCATGTAAGTATTGGTGTGTAATGCAAGGTTCTGGAGTCATCAAAATCATCCTAAATTTGGCCCAGTCTTGGTAAAGTAACAATCACTGTACACAGAAAGATGTATATGGGACAACACAAATGGTGTCGGGGCTAGTAATACCTTGATTTCCTTATCTTTCTATGCTCATTACTCAGCCAGCATACATTTTCTTCCAAAATTGTTTGGCACATGACATTTATTTGTATTCTTGAACATTCAGTGTAAGTTTCGTAAGATTCTGTGAAAATTTATTTTCTTTTTTTACCAGAACTCAAGTTTATCTTTAAGTGTTACACTATCATAATTATGCCTATTATTACTTAAAACAGTAAATAACTAAACCATTCATACGTTTACCAAGTAATTTAATTTTTGAAATATTTGAACGATTGATTTTGTCCTGATTTGTGTCTCTTTAGAATATGACAAGATTAAAGCTTACATCTAGTAAAAGTATTCAACAAAAGCCCTAATTTAACCAGTTCACCTTTATCCTTGTTAAGCATCGCTTATGATTGCGGTCTCTTGCACTTTTCCAACAGAATAGTTCGGATAATACTTCCAATTTATGATAATATGTTATGTAAATATTATGTTCTGTTATTGTATGTACATATATTATGTAAAATAACATTTTGACATGAAGAAATTATTGTTTGTATTATGTTGTATTATACCTTACATTTATATGTTCTTTGTTATTCAGTTATATTATATTTGGAAAAATGCAGAAATAAAATGAAATAAAATCAAATCAATTATTGATTTTTAGGACCCAATCTTCTTGGAGCCATAAAGCCTCTGGTGGTCCTGATCTGCAGTAATCCGGTCAAGTACTCCAGCCCAGAGCTTAGGGCTACCGCCAGCTTGGCCTTGGCTAAGTTCATGCTGGTCAGTGCAGAGTTCTGTGAAGCACAGCTACAACTTCTCTTCACGGTCCTTGAGAAGGTATGTTGGTATCTCCCTGTTATGAGACCTAAGCTATTGTGACTTGATTAAGCCCTGGAAGAAGGAAAAAATTCAATACATTCTATTGGCTCTGTGGTATAAACGCCTCTGCTTACCCATTTACCAATGTGCAAGACATGTTTGTCTGATTTTCATAGCAATTCTTTCTTTTTCTTTTCTATTGTTTTCTTTTACCTTATTTTCTCTTCTTTTCTAATCTCTTTCTACTCATATCATCTTCTATATTTCTTCTCTCTCTTTTCTTCTCTTTCCTCGATTATCTTCCCTTCTCTTTTTTTTCTCTTTCTGGTCTTTTATCTTACCATGGTATATGAAAGGAAGCATTGAAAATTAGGCAATCACATATAGTAGTAAAGGGAAAATGGCTGATTTTTATGAGCATTTGCATCTGACCGACTTACAATATGTCACTAGTATATATTTCTGCTTTGCATAAAAAATAAGATTTGTTTGCTTCGAATGGTTTTTACCAATTTTTCATTTTGCTATTTTATGTGTATGATTGTAGTCCCCAGAAGCAATCATCCGAGCTAATACAATCATAGCCATCGGAGATCTCACTTTCCGTTTCCCGAATCTCATCGAGCCATGGACTGCCAACATGTATGCCAGGTAAGAATAAATGATACATATATTATCATTTTTATTTTATTATTATTTTATACCTGTTGTCCATCGCCTGTATAATAAAAAAAATGATACATGGAGCGAAAAATGAGTTTACCATGAAAAGCTCAAAACCTCCTCATGGAAAAAACTTCTTAACAAAAAGAGATATGATTTCAAATATAATACAAAAGAGTAATTGATAAATATTTATATAATATTGGATGGCTTTGAGTGCGATAGAAGAATATATTGCTCGAGCTATGACAATATTGGACGAGTCTAATATTGTCTTAGTGAGAGCAATATATTCTTGTATCACACGAAAAACAAAGTGATACAATATCATTATTATTATCTATATTAGTCTGACTAGAGAAATAACAACATTTGACTTATCGCCATGATATCGATATCGATAGTTGAAGTTCCCGGATGACTAAGCAATACTAAAACAATATTGGTCAGTCATCCGGGTACTGCGCTAAAGATATTGAATACATTGATTTATTGTACCACTTGGAAGCCTTATATAGATGATAATACTTCTTATCCTCGACAACCTCAACGGTGTACAATATTGGTATCTACATGACTTTTGTGGACCTCAATCAGGAAGATTATATTTGAATATTCAAAGCAAATTTTTGTTGTTTAAATACGGTAAGATAAAGTTGAGTTCTGGTCATGCGATTGCATTGTGAAAGAAACGTTGTGGAAAGGATCAGAAAAGGTTGATCATCTAGCATATACGTATTAGTATGTACTGCAAGATTCTGGAATCATCAAAATGATAGGAAGTTTGGCCCAGTCTTGGTAAAGTTCCAAGCACTGTACACAGAAAGATGTATTTGGGACTACACGAACATGTGGTGTAAAAATCTGTCCCGATTCTTATGATGTTACATGCCATATTTAGAATATTAAGACATTTGAAGAACATCTTTTATCTGATGTTCTTCCACACTTGCATAATAACCATAATAACTCTCACAAATTATTTTTCACCTCTTCCTAGAACTCAACCTTCTCTTTAAATCATGTTATATGCAGTGGGCTGTGGATGATCTAACAGACTTTTTTGTTTTAAGTGGTAAACTAAAAAAAAAAAACTCTCCCCTTGCAGGCTTCGTGACCCGTCAGCCCACGTCCGTAAGAACACCCTCATGGTACTGACCCATCTGATCCTCAACGACATGGTCAAGGTCAAAGGTCAAATCAGCGAGATGGCCTCCTGCATCATCGACAGCGAGGATCGCATCGCTAGTCTGGCCAAGCTCTTCTTCTTTGAGCTCTCGAAGAAGGTAAGCTGCTACTGATACACTGGAACAGCAGGGGAAAAAATACACGGGGGCTTGGGCGAATTAGCCCCCGAAATGCCCAAAAGAGCTCCCAAATTTTGCATAGAGTTCAATGCAAAACAAATTAAAGAGTGTTATTTTCATGCAAGCAAGCTTGAAAAGTAGCCCCCCCCCCCCCCCCCCCCCCCCCCAAAAAAAAAAAAAAAAGTAATTTTTTCCCTCTGTAACAGTTCGTCCCTGTTTTCACGAAGTGACGGTAGTGAGGAAAATCGTCACGCAAAGTGAATGCAATTTTTTTTCACTACCGTCACTTCGTGAAAACAGCGACGAGTTGTATCACTGGACTCTTTCGATCAAGTTCATTACCTTGTTATATTGAATTGATTTGATTTGAATAGAATTGAATTGATACCATTGACATTTGTATTATGTACATCAACATTTTTCGAACAAGACAAAAACAAGATAATAGAGATGAATAACTTATATGCATTTCAAATAAGAAATATGTGTAACATTATAATATAATTATATTTCATTTGTTGATGTAACACATTTCACAATTCTCCCCTCTACACTATGATTTCTTTTATAAAATTTGCATTCTTGAAACCTTGCTACATCAAGGCTAAAATACAATACCATACAGGGAAAAAAATGCAGGGGGGCTCGGGGTGAAGTGGCCCCTGAAATGCCAAAAAGAGCCCCTGAAAGTCTTAAAAGAGCCCCCCAAAATTGAATAGAGTTCAATGCAAAACAAAATAAAGAGTGTTATTTTCATGCAAGCAAGCTTGAAAAATAGCCACCGAAATTTGTTAAAGTATTTTTTTCCATGATTCCATACAGAAATATGGGCAGGCAAAGCTACCTTGTTACATTGAAAGTTTGTTATAACAGGGTTCCAACGAGGTTACACTGTGTTTCATTTTATTTCAATTTCTTTTCTCCAATCAGTTGAAACTATAGGTTTCCTGCAGTTTTTGAAATTTTGCTTTAAAGGAAAAAGATAACTTACATTTTTAGAGGTTGTTTTTGGTTATTCTCAAGAAAATGTTTTGAAAGAATGTTGTCTTGATTGCTTTTGTGATATAGTATAGTATGACAACAATCGTAATGATTTGATATGGTGAATCTTTCATTCTGTTGCCGTCGATATATATGATGACTTTATTATTACAATTTGATACAAACTCTCAGATACCATTTTTACAATCATGTATCTGCACTACCACTCAGAACCTTGATTGGGACAGTTGGTGCTTATCATGCTTTAGGTCTGAATACTATGTTCTGTCATCAAAATTAAAGATAAAGACCAGTTATGGTCATGCGATTACATTGTGAAAGAAACGTTGTGGAAACCTTCAGAAAAGGTTGATCATCTAGCATATAAGTCTTGGTGTGTACTGCAAGGTTCTGGTGTGGAATCATCAAAATGATAAGAAATTTGGCCCAGTCTTGGTAAAGTTACAAGCACTGTACACAGATGTATATGGGACTACGCGGCACGTGAGCGATATCTATCGGGTCCAAATAGATATAATAATTGACCAAATATATCAATTAGTAGGCGGTTTCTCTGCAAAATTTGTATCATTACGTATTAGTCAAAACATATTCTTTCACATGATTGGTAATTAGCTTCCATTTCATATTTTGAGAGAGGGGCGTTTCCAAAACTGGTCTTTACCTTTAAGTGGAAGATACATTTATGTAAAAATGCAGAAGTATTTTTCAACATGACACACTTCAGAAAACCTCTCCAAGCCTGGGGGAGCACTCTATAATGACCGATCGACCATTGTTTATTCCTGAGATGTTTGTTTTATTTTGTTTGTTTATCCAGGGTAACGCTGTTTACAACATCCTACCAGATGTGATCAGTAGACTCTCAGATCCAGAACTAGCTTTACCAGAGGAGGATTTCAAGACAATCCTTCGGTAAGTAACATAGCACAATGTAGGGTTTACTTTTATACAAATCATTTTGGTAAATCTACATTATGAACATGCTCATAGCCAATTTTCTTGTTATCAGCTTTAACCCTTAAATGACCTAGGGGGTGTTTCACAAAGATCCTAAGTTGAACTTATCTCCGAGTTATACTTAACAATTATGGAAAGCCATTAGCATCCTTGAAAATATTTTGTAAAAGTTATTTTAAAAGGCATGAAATGTTGATTCAAATCATTCATATTTTCTGTTATCATGGGAGATTTCATGTTCTTGATGTGGAACTTATAAAAAGTCTAAAAAACTTGAATTTTTGTGTTTGAATATTTTTCATTATGAGGCTATAAATGGCTCTCCATAATATTTAAGTCCAACTTAGAGTTAAGTTCGACTTAGGATCTTTGTGAAACACACCCCAGGTTGTTTGAGTGCTCTCACAGTCGTATTAAATGTTGGCATTTAATCCTATGTGTGTTTGGTTTCAAATTCTTCATTTACTCTTTTGTTTCGGCGCTATAATAATTTAAATCATTGAACTGGTCCATTGTGTTGTTTTTGTTTCTTTTCTTTTGTTCGAAAATGTTGTAACTGAATTCGTTTTGTTTCGAGTTGGATTGTTTACATCAATATGTTTGTAAATTTTGTATTTATCTTGCAGGGACTCCATGGAAAACAGTATTTAACTACTGATGGAGCCACCCTACTAAAAAAAAAACTAATAAATAAATATCTATAAAATAAATTTTTGTTTTCGTAGATATCTTCTGTCCTTCATCCAGAAAGACAAACAGGCGGAGTCCTTGGTAGAGAAACTGTGTCATCGTTTCAGGGCTACCAGGTAAGAAGCTCATTTCGTCGGCTGGGTGGCAGAAGGGCGTTAGCACGAATTTCAGGTCAAAAATGAAACCTCAAGCAGAAGGGCGTTAGCACTAAATCACCACAAACTTTTATAAAACTGACTTATTTCTGAAAAAAGAAATTGTGGCCGTGTTCTACTATAACATTTCTATTAGTCTTTTAAGTTTTAAACCAATTTTCCGGACGGAAAGCAAATAATTTGAAAAGTAGTTTTCGAGTCGCTAACGTCCTTCTGCTAGCCGGCCAATGATTTTCTTCCTCATATATATTTTTTTTTCTTCAAATCTCTGTTGTATTGCTGGTTAGAGAATAAACCAATTTGACTTTAAGCCATGCAGTATGGGTAAATCTGCCGAAGTGATTGATCAAATTTTGCCTTACAGTTAGTATCAAGTTTCTGCAAACTTGTTTCTACGAAAGAGGAGTAGTACAAAACATTTGGAAATTTGAGGGGGGGGGGGGGGGGAGGGGATCCTGATCCTGATCTGAATTACATCATGCTAGTTTAAAATGTTTATTTGATGTCCGAGTTTTATTTGCAGAATAAAAGAAAAAAATTGGAGGGGTATTTTCTTTTCTCACAATGACATGATCACCTGTCTTTAACGTTTTCTAAAGTCATGACATTACTTTGCATTCATAGATATTTATACAGACCATACACTGAGAGTTATGTCTTTTGCTCGTACATAGTGACTCGTGTGTATACTAGTCATAGCTTGTGGATGAAATTTAAATATCTTTCGATAAAGTTGGAATTATCTCTTCAACTAAAAAAACGGACACTCGGGCTCCATTTTGATGTAGCTTTTTGCATAGAAGACCAAACTGAAATGGAGATTACCAGTTTCCTGCAGCTCAACTTCAAATGCTAATTTTCACACTACTGACATCGCATCTATGTTTTTTTCCTCCCATCATAATAAATAATATAATGAATTATATGATTATAGCGCATTATACAAGGTATGTCTCTATGCGCTTTTCATTGTATTACAAGCTTAATGAAGTACATGTATCTACTATTGAAACAAACAAAAATTCTGACAAGATCTTAACTAAAATAGTACAACAGTAACTAGATAGAAAAACATTATAATTCATTCTTAAATAATGATACAACAATTATGGTGCAAGATTTTATTCATATATTACAAGTTGTAGACATATACAATTTCAATTCTTTATATCAAGATCTGAAACCCAAGTCCGTGAGCTAGCCTTCTGTCTGTCACTGCTGAACTTCAACGACAAGGGATTCCGCAAGCTCCAGGAGAACGTTGCCTGCTATGCCGACAAGCTTGCTGATGCGGAGGTCTACGGGTACTTCACTACCATCATCTCCAAGGCCAAGAAGGCGGTCAAACAAGAAACAAAGGTCAGGGACCCATTTCACAAATCACGACACCTGCGTTATATCTACCAAGTCCAAATATATATAATAATTTACCAAATATATCAATTAGTAGGCAGTTTCCTGTCAAAATTTTTATCATCATGTATTAGTCAAAACATATTTTTTCACATGATTGGTAATAATAGCTTCCATTTCATTTTTTGAGAGGGGGTCGTTTCCAAAACTGGTCTTTACCTTTAAGACTTGTTTTTTTTTTTAAATATTCATTATGCGTATTGGTGTACACAATCAGAAGCAAGGATTTCAGTAGTTTATAACATAAACTGTCATTTGTCACTGATGACAAATTTTGTGAAACGGGTCCCAGGAGAATTGAATGATTTTGCAGCTTCAAAGGACCCTGTTTTATAGAAATATGTTATCAGTCACAACTGCAACAATTCCATAGCAACTTTGCTCACAGCCATTCAAACGCAATGGTTTTAGTAGCTTCTCTTATGAATTTGTGTAACTTGTTGTTGCTAACAGATTTTAAATCAAGCAAACACTATTAGGTATTCTATCTCAAGTTTTTTTTTTTTTTTTTTTTTTTGTTGGGGGGGGGGAGGGATGATGCTATTTCACCTCTTCGCTTTCATATACTTTATAATTTTTTGTTTGTTTGTGTGAATGAATGAAGTTACTATCTGGTTGAGACTCATAATTTCTATCAGAATGATTGATATTCAGGATCATTTTGTAATCTGGAGAAGAAAAAGATAGAAGACAAGGTGCAATATCAGGATAGTTGCCTTTTACATGCCAAATGTGTAATACATTTTTTATCATGAAAACCTGGGAATTCCAGAATAAATTTTAAAGTTTGCGTTTTTAAACCTTTTTTACAGCAGATTCTGTAAAAGGAGATCATCAATTCAATGTTCCTGTAGATTGCATTGATGATATTTACATCAGAATAGGTAGGATGTTTGGAGAAGAAAAGACATTTTATTTAGACTATAACAATGCTAGAAGACTAAATTTACTTAGATCATGAAAGAGTTTCATCAGGATGGTCGTAATAATGATTTGAGAGATCAAAACTGTTCCTGTGGGATATGATACAAGAATTTCCAAATTCTAAATTAGCTATTTTGTTTTGGTTATAACCAACTGTGGTCTGAATAATTTGATTGAATCTAGGTTCTAGTGGAGGATTATGAGCAGAAGATGAATGAATTCCATCTGAAAGGAGCCGATGAGAATGCTACGGCCGAGAAAGCGTCTAAAGCTTCAACAGCTGCTGCTGCACTCACTAAAAAGAATGGCAAAACGCCAGCAGGTAAAATGATGTCACTAAACTTTCTCTCTATCTCTCTCTCTCTCTCTCTCCCTCCCCCCCCCCCCCCCCCCCCCCCCCCCCCCCCCCCCCCCCCCCCCCCCCCCCCCCCCCCCCTCTAATTGTATCATTAAAGGTAATACAAAGTTTTGGTATGGGGTCATGAATTCGGTTCAAATGAACATATTGAACGCATATGAGGTCCTACAATATTCAGTTATCGTTTTCGCGGTTGAAATCGAGTCTAAAGTTATGAAATTGTAAATAATAAACCCTTTATGTTGTATAGCTCCCTCTCAAGGTCAAGATATAAATTAAGCTATAAAACAATGTTTCTTGACTAAAATCTACAGATTAGTTGTTCCCGTTCGGAAATTATATATCACGACTACATATTCTGAGATTATCATGGTCGCAGCTACAATTGTATGGCCGTAAGCGCTAGCTGAAATTTATCAAAATTTACCGGGAGTACCGTTAAATTTTTATATTCAATTTTGCTCGAAATCAGAAGCGTTTTAGGGGCTAAATGCATCCAAATATATCAAAATTGTAAAGAATCACTATCCCGCCAATTTTCAAAATTTACTGAAACTTTGTTATACCTTCAAGTTGAATTTGGTTGACTTTGTGAATAATGCATTGAAATCCAAGATCACTGTTGACTGTTCTGTCCGTGAATCAGATCCATATGCCATTGTATCTGAAAACGATTACCTCCCTCTTTTGGCAGCCAAGAGACGAAGCAAGAAGGGACAGACCCCTGCCAGGACCCTCAAGGAGAAAGATCTAAACCGCGCTAGCGACGAGGAGGAAGAAGACGATGATGACGACGAGGACGATGTCGGTAACAGACGCAAGCCCGATGTTCTCAATACCTCGCTCCCTGATCCTGGCTCCGCCCCTAGGGTGAGCAGGAAGGGGCGTAAGAAGGTACCCCCTCCTATAGCCTTCTCTAGCGACGAGGACAGTGATGATGTTTTTGCTCCTCCTCGAAAGCCCAAGGTGAGAAGCTGAATAGTTTGAAAACTTCAGGGTATCATTTCAAAGTGTGAAAATAATAATTATTATTATTGTTATAGGCATTTCTATAGCGCCGTCTGCCCGTCTATCTAGAAATTTTATTCCGAGGCGCATTAATTATTACCCCGGTTTTAGCCTAGCTGCTATTAGAGCACTCTAGCATTTCAAGGAATTAATTCCTGCCAGGTACCCATTTACCTCACCTGGGTCAAGTGTGGCAAATGAGGATTAATGCTTTGCCAAAGGACATTAGTGCCGTATTGGGGATCAAACCACGTCTCAGCATTTTTACAAACCACAATTGTTTATATGACATGTCACTAGATGCATTAATTTATGAATGAGTGTCATTTATTTGAAAAAGCATCTCTGATTAAAATTCTCTCTTTATTAACATGTATTTTAAATTCTGAGTCTAAAGATATACATTTTCTAAGATTTTAAAGGGATCGTTTAACAATGTTAAATCTGAGATACACGGCCCTACGTGTTATCAGTGTCTGTGATATGGTGTAATATTGAAGCCCTAAAAAAATTGCGCTTCAAAATGATCAAGAAGTGCCTCAAAAAAGTAAAAATCTTTGAGTGACCAGTTTTACCATACTCGTTTTCCCCAATAAACTGTAGTGTTATGAAAACCGGCAATCGGCTTGTAAAAGTCATGGGGTTCCTGACTGACCTAAAGGTTTATAATTATCATTTTGGATTTTTTTTGTGAAAGGATCTAAGACAAAGTTACTGGATCCCTTTAAAACACTAAGTGCTTTTTATCAGCAAGGGATAGCTAAATAATGTGGTGACCTTGGTTGTCATAAAACATTCAAATCCTCCGTAAAATAATAACACACTGCACCTGTTGGATGATATACTAGTAGCCATGAGCATGGTTGGATCAAATAATTAGGCCTGTTTTCATCATCCTGAGTTTGCCAAATAACCCGCTATTTTAACTATCCCGATTGCAAATTAGCCAGTTAATTTGCGTCCTCATCAGCCCGCAGTTGAAATAAGCGGTATATTTGGTCGAGAAAATATCCAGAGAAATGTTGGTCTTGTTTCCAAAATATCCCGCTATTTTAGAAATAGTGGGCTTATTTGCGCCCGTCCGAGCTACAGCTGTAGTTTGTGATGAGCTTATCGGTCTGGTGGAGACGCAATTTTGAGCTTCGGGATAATATACTGAGTCTGAAAATAGTGGGTTATTTGGCAAACTCAAGCCGATGAAGACATGCCCGATTGTAATGTAAGGAATTATAAGATAGGGAAATGATGTTTGATCATGTCCCATAACACTACCACATTGAGATGATAAAAGCAATGAAATGACTTGTAATGTAGATATGAATGAATACATCTGATATGAAACCAGTTTTATGAAGAAAGGCAGGCACATTTGTAGAAGAATGAAATTATTCTACCAGATAGCAGCAAAAATCCACTAGCATTGCATTGTTTTTAATACCTGTAGTAGCTTTTTTCTTAAACTATTGTGAATATTCTTACAGGGGAAGCCCACTCTGGTATTGAGTTGGTTATAAGCTTTAAAATTAGAGTAAAAGATTAGTAAAATTCTGAGGAAATAAGAAAGTTAAGTTTTAAAAAAAATTATCAATCAAACAGAAATTGACAACTCCCTGTTGTACTTTCCAAGGACCTTTCCCGTTCGCTCCGTACTTTTGAACAAAATTAAACAATTCTAGGAGTTTACCTCTTCTAAGAATAAATGAGTGAAATTTTGACATGCTCTGTGTCTGTTATTTTCCTGTTCTGTCAGTTCAGTTTGATATACTTGTGTATATAATTTTTTTTAATTCAGATGGATAGAATTTTGTGTTGTTTTCCTATTCCAGCAATAATTTGCAGGTTTTAAATGTTAAAACATTTAGATGTTATTTTCCTGTTCAGTTTAATGAATTTGTATTTTCTTTTTTCTTTTTCCTTTTCAGATGATTCTTGATTCAGAGAGTGAAAGTGATGAGGAGAACATCAATCCATCCAAGTCAAGATCAGTCAAGAGGTCAACCAAGCCTAAGGGAAAGACACCTGCGAGATCTCGCAAACAACGGCCCTCTCAACAACTGGAAACTTAGAACAGAGATGTGTATATTCACCAGTCATCTTTTAAGTGTATATTAACCCATCATTTTTTTTCATGTGTATATTTTCAAGTCTTTATTTGAGAGAAGTGCCTGACAATATTTTAGAGATAGTTGCAGATAGTAGCAAGTTCTTTATCCTTAAGAATGACATCGTACTTCCACTATCATATTAAGAATCCCGGTGGTGTCACTGACTGTATATAGTATGTAGGAGACTGGGCCATATTTTAGCTTAAAGCCACATAGTAGTCGGTGTCCATGTACTATTGCATCATAATTCGCTGACACTAGATTTGGTTGGATTACCAATTAATGTGTCCCGTGTGTGCAAAAGGTCTCGGAAGCAGCGAAACCGTGGTCCCACCAGAAAAATACTCCAGCTTGCTTATATCTGGGGTTCGAGGGAAACTTGATATATATGATGAGAAGTCTAAAGGTGGTGAGCTAAAGCACAGTGCATTACACAAGATCTGTCTGTCGTAAAAGTCGAGTCCACTCTTGGGAATTGGCAACACCTGTTATTTGGTAAAGACCAGAATGGTGTCAAATTCCCCTTCAAATCCCCCTACTATGCCTATTTATGGGTGCATTCAAGTTTAGGGAAATGTTTTATTGGGGGGGGGGGGGGGGTTGAACCTGAAATCTCATTGGATATAAAAAGTTATATGTAATTGGAATTTATGCTTTGTAAATGCAAATTTTTAAACAAGTGACATGTATCTTCTGTTTTTAAATGACTTGTTGAATTTGTTGAATTTGAATTTGTTGAATTCTAAAAAAAAGCTATAATCTTGCATTAGTCTGCATTTGTGAATGAAATACTTGAATAATTTTTTGTATATATATAGTTTTAGGCTTAATTGATGTGATGTTTGCTTATCATGTGCTCCATAAATTCTGATGTTGACCTTGTATTATATTGAGGCTTGTTTTAGCACTGATGTACTATAATGTACGCTTGAAATCAGTTCAACATCCACAGTGACCATATCCACCCAAAAGGACTAGTAAGAGTGATCAGATACATACTGACTATACTGCGTTCTATGTTATTAATGTTATAAATCATTTGTCGATTGGTGCAAACTGTCACTCAGATTGAATATGTTTTTGGATGAATTCTTGACTCTGTAAGCTTGCAGTGCTTGCTGCCTGCTCAACTAACATAACAGGTACAATCAGCTGTTCCCTGAAATCACGGGATTTCATATGTTAATTTTAATAGTCCAAAATGGATGTTTTTTTATCACTCAACTAAGCCACTGGATCCGACAGTGATCCTTAGCTTGCGGTAATCAGTCTTTATGCCTGTCTTCATCAGCTCGAGTTTGCCAAATAACCCCCTATTTTCAGAATCGGGATACTATCCCGGAGCTTGAAATTGCGTCTCCGCCAGACCAATACGCTCATCACAAACTAGCTCGGACAGGTGCAAATTAGCCCGCTGTTTCCCAAATAGCGGGATATTTTGGAAACAAGACCAAGATTTCTTGGGATATTTTCTCGACCAAACATGATGAAGACCCAAATTAGCTGGCTAATTTGCGATGGGATAGTTAAAATAGCGGGTTATTTGGCAAACTTTAGGCCTAAGGTTAATGAGAAGTCACTTTCCTTTTGGTCCGAATGTAATATTGAACAATGTTGGTAATAATATTAAAACTGTAAATCTGACATACTTGCAATGAAATGCTTGATTTGTATATTACATTATTCATATGTAAAATTAATATATCACTGATTAATAATAATAATAATAATAGGCATTTATATAGCGCTGTCTATCTAGACAATTCTATTCCGAGGCGCACAAGAAAAATAAAAAGAATAAGAGAGTTTGGATGAGTGTCATAGTGCATACAGGTATTGTTAATAAAAGATGAGATTTCAGCTTGGATTTAAAGGTCTCTAAGGAAGTTATGATTCTCAAATTCAATGGTAAATTATTCCAAAGAGAAGGTATAATTGGTATGCATTGTATGAACGATGATCGGTCCTATACAGTGAGATTTTATTTCATGATAAGATAAACACTCGTGTATGATATCCATGAGCAAGATCAGTGTACTATTAGTAAACTTATAGAGGTGAAGGCCATTATTGAGTTCAAAAGAAGACATTGATTATTGTGATGGCTATTACTGTCTTCCCTCGGCCTCCCTCCAGAGTTTTGAACATTGTCTTCAAGTCAAAGCACTTTTTTATAAAATTTCTGTTGGTGGAATCTCATTTGAAGAGAAATTGGATCAATGACAAAGTATTTCTCATTTGGTTATCGTGAAGTAAGATGTATATGGGTTGTAGGGATCATCAAATATAACGAACTGAAGAAAAAAACTTGCACAAAATATAATTGATTAAAAACACAACTCTCCTGCTTGTTATGTATATATGTGGTCTGGACTACTACCTAAATTTTCCAGATTTTTCATTTTTTATTACTCGGTTGTTATTTCTACCCCCACATGTATCTTTCAACTATGATGAACTTTCAGTGAAAATGTTTAATTCTTTTTTTTTAAATGAACTTCACAAATGTACATATTTGAGTAACAAAGAACATTCATGTGACCTTCATACTCACCTCAGGGGGGTAAAACCACGTACTGTACTGTGAAAGGTGAAGGCTAGTCCATTACCATCAATAAGAGATACGTGATGGCTGTTACTGTCTACACTTATCCTCCCTCCTCTAATGTAGAACATGAACTGAAGTCAAATAAATTGAAATGTACTTTATAAAACAATACCATTTACTCGTACATGTATCTTATTATGTACTGTTGACCTCTAGTCCACTATACCCTTACCTTCGTACTATAAACATTAAACAACCCGGATGTTTACACACATCAAACTGAACTTGACCTATTTAGATTTAAAGAAGTTGAAAAAATATCAAATAAAGTTATTAACATGATATGACACTGCCTAGGTCAGCTTTCAGTTCAAGACAAGTCAATCATCTTTCAAGGACCCAGCCATTGATATCATTATTTGGGTCAATTGTACTGTGAGCTATCATTGTCATAATGACCTATATACCATTGAACTCTGATTGGCATTGTTATAAGACAAAATGCTGGTGGCTTAATTCCTATCTTGTAAATGTAGGCCCAATTGTCTGGACGTGATGATGGCGACTTTTGAGTATTATTGTGATGCAGGTCAAGTGCATTGCTCTTACTAGGTCGTTTACATCTTGAATGGGTTTCAAACAAGTAGCTACTGACGATTTTTTTTTTAACTCTGCGCGGGAGCAGTTTCTTTTCTTTTTATTCTTCTTCTGCTTTGTTATTGTTGTCGTTCTTCTCCTCGTCTTCTTTCTTGTTCTGCTTCTCATTCACCTTCTTCTTCCTCTTGCTTTCTTTCTTGATTTCTTTCTTGATTTATCCTGCTTGTAAAGCTCGCCTTCTTTCTTCTTCTTTTTCCTCCTCTTCTTCTTCTTTTTGTTCTTGTTTTTCTCCTTTTCTTTCTCTTCTTCTTCTTCTTCTTCTTCTTCTTCTTCTTCTTCTTCTTCTTCTTCTTTTTCTTCTTCTTCTTCTTCTTCTTCTTCTTCTTCTTCTTCTTCTTCTTCCTCTTCCTCTTCCTCTTCCTCTTCCTCTTCTTCTTCTTCCTCTTCTTCTTCTTCTTCTTCTTCTTCTTCTTCTTCCTCTTCCTCTTCTTCTTCTCCTCCTCCTCGATCCTCCTTTTTCTTCTGTTCTTCCTCCTCCTTCTTCTTCTTAATCTTCGTCTTCCTCTTCTTTCTCTTCGTTTTCTTCTTCTTCTTTTTTTTTTTCCTTCTTCTTTTTTTTTCCTTCTTTTTCTCCTTCTCCTCCTCCTCCTCCTCTTCCTCCTTCTTCTTCTATACATCAAATAGTCTGGATTGGTTGATTGATTGATTGACAGGTACACGGGAATTACTTGTTTACCATTAAATCCACTGACCTTGGTTTTCTTTGGCTAGATCTAATATTTTGACTAATAATCGACTATTAAATTTCAACCTTGATACCGAAAAAATGATAATCATTCAACGAGTTTAATTAAACGTTATGACCAGGGTGTTTTAAATGATTGATTTAGTGGCTCAGGTTTTATTGCATCATAAAAATACACTCTAGTAATTAAATCTACAATGCCCGTATATTAAAACAGGTAATTAACCAGTCATCTGTCATGTACACGAGGTTGAAAGTAAAGTACATTTATCTTACATTCTGTGACCTATAAAGTTAACCTCGAAGCTTTCTGTTAGTCAGTTTGTTTTGGGGTCGTTTTTTGTGGGTAATGATGGGGAAGATGATGACGATGATTAGAATTGTTTTTATGCCTGCATGACGACATGATTATACTGACAGAGAAGAAGTATATTAGGTGCTAATGAAGACAGAAAATTAGATATTGTCATTTTTAAGATGACAGACACAGTTGAATGATGATGAATAAGTTGATGGCGGTTGATGATATATAGTAATAGAGTATAGATGTGATTGTGGTGATATCATTGTCTTGATGGCGGGGTGTTGGTGGTTGTAATCATCATCGTGGTCGTCATCGTCCGCGTCATGACCTTTTAACCCCTTGCGTCGGTTATGGTCACGTATAGCTTGATGGCAGCTAGTCAGAATTCCATTAACTTGATGCTCAAAGATGCTCATGAATTTAGAAATCAAGTAGTGTGTTATGAATTAAAGTGGTTGAAATTAACTAGTTCAAAAAATACCTGGGCCCTCTCCGCCCCACCCCCCCCCCCCCACCCTCCAACTCCAACAAACATAGTCCTGTGTTATTAAAGCCCCTCTAAAGTGTTAAGTGCCCCAAATTCATCAAAAAAATTATGGCAAAATTTTGATTATAGATTGTATCATAATGTGAAAGAGGATGTCATTTAAAAGTGTGTTTAAAGACAAAATATACTGATACAAGACTACATAATTTGGGTTTTTTATTATACGCAGAAAACCTACATTTTGTATTCTTTCATCATATTGGACTTCAAACACATTTGTTTTGAAAATCCTTGCAGAAATAATATGTCTTAAATGACATCCTCTAATCTAAATGAAATTTTGCCATCAAATTATTGGGGCTCCCAACAATTTAGAGGGGCTTTAAACACGGCTATGAATATTATTACTCGCGTTTTTTAAGCTTTCAAAAAGGCTCATAGACATGTATGAATTAACTGCAAGTAAAATGAAGGCGAACGGGACAGGATGTATATGGGTTAAGTTTTACAATGCCCTGGTTGGGCATGGCTCCCAAAATGACCCTGTTCCGTAGAGACTAAATTATAGGCACTTGGAGGCTGCCTGATGACATGGAGGCACCCATTGACCATCTCACCAGGGACACATCCTTCACTTATGCCGCTGGCATGCCAAACAATCACCCTAACTCTCACCATGTCCCACCAAGTCGCCCCCAGTATTTGAGAGGGTACTCAGCGACTCCGGATCACTTTTCCTCGGCTATTTCCATTCATTCTCCTACCCCCCCCCCCTCCCTACCCTACATCTTGGGGTGCTATTTACATCCTTCTTGTAATCGAGTACTTTTTCAGCGAAAGGCGGTTAAAGGTTGCATGTGACGTTAATTTGAGACAGAAGTACGACATAGTTAACTTCATAAAGGAGGAGCATGGATGCGATTTCAGCACAAACTGTTGAGTTGTTGGGGCTGAATATTGGCAGTTCTTGATTTGGATTATTTTATTTTAAAATGACGTGTGACGATGACTGTCTTTGTTGTCGTGAAAGAAAATGGCGGCAGGAAAATCCATCTTTGATAAAATGGGGAAAATGATTAAAAGAAACTGCGACGATAACAAGCAGGATGATGTCTTTAGATTGTTTGTTTCGTGAATGCCTGAACCCTATAAATAACAAATTCATGTTTCACAATATGGATAAAATAGACAGAGAGAGAGAGAGAGAGAGAGGGGGGGGAGAAAGAGAGAGCGAGAGAGAGAGAGAGAGAGAGAGAGAGAGAAAGAGAGAGAGAGAGGGGACGGCTATAATACGATATTGTATTACTTCATGTTACAAACTTGTTGTTACAAACAAAATAGGTTATTCTTACATCTATCTTACTTTGCTTTCATATATTCATTCTTTTCCGTTTGATTTCGTACTTTTATTTATTTTCTGGCATATTTACATCAGTGTATTGTCCATTACTGCATAACAGAAAGTTTTAATTTATAACGTCAATTTTTAGGATTTGTTTCAACACCGTTTTGATTAACCCGAAGCAGCGCTTCAGTATAAATCTCCCCACAAGCTGAATAAAATATGGAAGAAATAAGCTGAAGCAATAGAAAAGAAATCTAGGCCATGTACGTCATGGCATTAAAAGAAATGGCGCTATTATGTCATTCAATTCACGGAGGAACGATACATTCTTTGCCAAATTCGTCCATTTCTTTTCTTTCCATCGGCAACATTACTTTACAAAACAAATTTAACGAATTTGTCTTTAGGATGTAATAGTATCTCTCAAGTGGTTTAACGTAATCGATAAATTGTTTAAACATGAAGATTATGTCACTGTAATCTGCAGACGATAACCGCAATTCAAATCCAAAGACTGCTCTGGGCGTTAGCGTTGTTACCATGGCAACGTACTATAAAGCATGGCGTAATATCAAAGGCATCCTTCCAAATACATGTGAGAATTTTTGTCTCAGTTCATCGCCGTGGTCTTGTAAATAATACAAGTTGTTTTTCTAGACAAACAATCACAGCACGACAAAGTCCCTAGACGTAAATAATCATATCTGACTGATAACCAAATTTACACATAGGCCTATACATGCACACATTCAATGTAAATGATTTCTAAAGTATCATGCGTTCATGTACTGCATTGTATTTATTAAACTTCATTGATGTACATCAATAATCTATTCATAAACATATAAATCAATTTACAATGCTATGTAACAACTCAATATTCTGTTTGTAAACATAATCATATCGATCCATTTCATGTATATCATCATGATCATGATGTCATTGATGATGTGGATACAAAGACTTCAAGAGAATAGTGGGCCTACATGCTTATAGAGGGACACCTAGCCCGCTGCCGTGACACTCTTTAATTCTCTATAGGAATGTAAAGGTGAACAAAATCTATTTGAGATTCAGTATGTGCATGCGCTTTAGATATTTTCCGTTAAATATAATTTTTAATTGTCGGTGCCATTTTGAAACAGTCAAAATAATATCATATCAACGAAAATTCAGTTGCTGTAAATTTAACTAAATAGGCAGATCCAAGGGGTCGACCGAAAGGGACCCACTCCCGTACAATCACAGTCACCCTTGAAAAACAATACCAAAGTGTCGCTATGTCGGAGAAAACCTGCTACAACTAAATGTTCGTATCCCGTCACCCCTTCACCTGTCACATCTGAGCAGATTGTGATAGCTGTAAGCAAGGGGAGGGGTCAAAGATATCAGAGGAAAAACAATCCGCGGCTCAACCAAATAAGTTGTTTCCCATTGCTGTATCTACCACTGGATGACTAGAATGTAATTGTGATACACATTGGTAGAAATTGTGAAACGGAGATTGACGAAAAATACGCGCGCACCGCCACTACACTGGTTTAGCGAGCAAGAATGAAGTTATATAGAAAGCCGTCGATAAGAAGAAGTCACAAGTAATAGCGCTAGTGCAGGTTGATGCTAGACCTACCAATCAAGCGCGCGCTTATTGGAATACATTCACCGCTGATTAATTTTCCCCGCGTGATATGATTTATCCTGCTTCAGAAAAATGGCGTCTGATCTCCTGTTCGAGCTATATTTCCTCGTTATTTCTACATTTATTTTGATAACATCGGCTGTGAATATGAGTGACATTACTTCAAAATGGCCTTCAAATCATGCAGTACGGATAGATGGTGATATCATTATTGGAGGTTTGTTGCGAGTTCACCAGTCCTCGGACAAGCATGTTTGTGGACAGCTCCTTCAGCAATTAGGTATCCAATCCGTCGAAGCGATGCTTTATACGTTGGATAAGATCAATAACGGGTCTATATTGCCTGGATTTACCCTCGGTCTACTCGCGTTTGACGACTGCAGTCATGAAGCATACTCGTTAGAACAGTCTGTGAAGTTTGTTCGATTCGACCAGGACCTGGATTATAATATTGTGGATCCAACCGATGTGGAATCGGCATGTAAGGTGAACGATACAGTGGACAGTGCCTGGACTAAGTCTAGTAAGAATCGGGATCGAGGCTCGCGTGTGGCCGGAGTAGTCGGGGCATCAACCAGTTGGTGCACCGTACAGGTGGCGAATCTCCTAAAGCTCTTCAAGATTCCACAGGTCAGTGTCGATTTTAACCAGCAATTTATATGTATAGTCTGTATATACATATGAGAACAGTGTTCTTTATTTTAAAGACGTTCTCATTTGACAAATGAAAAGGGCATAGGGTCTAGACTAACTCAAATTTGAATAAAAGACGGACGGACTGTGTACCTCTGGCTGAGCCTGAAACCGGTTTCGTTTGGATTTGAGCTAAACTATTTTCATCGTAAATTTGTAACTCCATGAAAAGCTAACTAGTCTAGGATTTATAGGAACTACAATAAATGAATCAACGACTCCAATATGTGTTAAAAGTACAGCAACTTTCAGAATGTGTGAACACAAGAACAGATATTTCTATTCATCAAGTCACTCAGATAATGAAATTCGAAACTGGATTTACACAATGTAAACTTAAATAGACCTAGTAGGCCTAGTGGAATTTTATTAGCAACTCTTACTGTGGAGAAAGTTTTACAATGATTACGCAATTTCTTCAACTGGTATTCGTAAAAATAAAATGCTCAGAAATACAATAACGTTGTTTCCTTTTTACAGGTCTTGATCTGAAACATTTACTGATTTAGAACACAAAAATGACGGAACCCCATAACATCGTACCTGCTACTTCTCTAATAAAAGTTATTCATGCAACAGCGTCATGAATTATTTATGACACCTGGGAGAAAAAATATGTGTGGCGTTGCAGGTGAATTGCACAATAAGTCAAGTACAATGCTGTATTGTTAATGAATTGACGCATTTCGTGTCCTTAATTTAACGGTAAGGTGCACTGACGCGAGTACTAATTAATTTTTATATTTACAATCTATTAAAGATACCCTGATAAAACAAAATGAGTCCTACCTTGGGGCTATAAATACCAAGAACGAACGTGTAATTAATTTGATGTACTGTAGGCAGATGTTAATTGAAAAAGATGCTGATGACGCAAAATGAAATTAGAACCTTGTCGAGAGCGTGGGACTAGGCTAGCATTGTTTAAGAAACATGCCATACATTAATTGTTGCTAGGTAGGACAAACACTATGGCTTGTCCTACCTGACCGGCTGGCAACACGTATTGAATGCAATTCGCATTCTGACAACTGAAATACAACTATTCGTATACTAGGTGAATGATATATAGTTTGTAACGAGGCATTTGTGCATTAAATTTGATTACATTACGAAAAAATGGTCTTTGGGAAAGGAACAAATGGAGGCAACCATTGGAAGTGTTTAGAGGGAGAAACAGAGAAGAACAGGTTGAGAAATATGAAGTGATATTATTAAAGAAGGAAATGAAAATACAAAATGAATAGGTTTAAGAATTGTAAGCTTTCATCAGGGAATAGGAATATTATTTGTCTGCGGTACGATTGTATAGCAGACAAATGTTGTTTGTATCGTTAATGAATGCATACTTATGTTGGGTCCGGGGCTGTGCCCCGATGGAATGTAATTTGCATAGGCAGCTCGTACAGGTGTGCGAGCTAATTCTGCCACGGAGACCAGGGCGTGGCATGAATTAGTGTGTAATTGAATCATTCTAGCTTGAACTTTCAACGAGACAACTTTTATTTACAATAAAAGTGCGTTGTGTCATGTACTGTTACATGACTGTGTTTGAATAAGGTTTTCCAGAGTTTTTATGCTCGTTGAGTTTTATCTCTGGTTTTTTATCCTGGACCATGATAGGTCCGGTTTCCAGTGAAGGAAACGGTTTCCAGTGAAGGAAACGAGAAGAAATGTTTGTTAAACATTCATACTGAATAAACGGCCGGCTCTCAGTAGTCGTTGTCAGGCTATTCCACAATAATTGAAGTGTATTATTGTGTTATTTGTGTGTATTGGGAGTCAAGAGGGATGACAGACGAAATAATATGTGAGATTATAGGGCAGACAAGGGGATAGAGAGGTATCAGAGGGATAAAAAAAAAAGAGACATTACCACTGCAACATTACGAAAAGAAAATGCAAAAAAAAAAAAAAAGTTAATGTAACCGGGGTGGGGTAAGGGAGTAAAATGTATCGTGAAGACTATTGAAGTAGTGATAATTGTCATAATTCATTATTTATCGTTTCATTCGGGACACACAGGGCCTTAATCCCTTTTCCCCTCTAAAAAAAAATGCAAATTCAACATACGATAGAATAATAATCACGATGTATTTGTGTTCACGTTTGAAATGAAATGGAAACTCATCAACTATTTGACTATTAAAAAAACTTGCATCTATATAAAATAAATTTGTGGTCATATCAAATTATTTTCCTTTAAAAAAAAAGTTTTATGATACCGAAAACATTTCATCAAATCACCCATTCCATTATCAACATACATGTACATTTACAAACGATAACCATCGTGAGAGTTACAAGCTGATACTATAACCTTAATGTTTTTTTAGGGGCGGAAATTCAATCGATCATATTTACATTGTGACGCTTGGAGGATTGATCAGCCAGTGCGGGTCAGTGATCGAAGAGAAACTCGGCTAATATAACACCATCTCTTGTTTATATTACCACTATCTTGATCGATAAAAGTGCTTTCCGGGAAGACGATTGATCTTCATGATATGGGGGGGGGGGGGGGCAGTGGATTAGAAATGCAAATGGCATCTGTCATGAAATAGGGAGGGAGAGGAAGGAAGAAAAAGAATGTGAAATGGAGAGGGTATGTTAGAGGGGAAGCGAGAGAGAGAAGGGATTGGGCTCTTCGGCTAATTTCATTAAGTTGATTTTGAATGTTGAAATGTTTCAGTGAAGCACTGTCTCGGCATTTTCATGCTATATGAAGATTGCTTTGTTAATAGACCGAGTCAGTATCTTGACTCTTTGGGTGGTATTCTTGAAAGCGGACTAACTTTAGTCCATGGTTTAATCCAACGACTAAGTATGGAATGCAAAGTGTCCATATGAATATGTTTTTGAATAATTTAATCTGTCACTAAATTAAAATAAAATGTAATAACATAACTAATAAACAACAATATAACTATGATATAATTATGTTATCATGGTAATTTAGGGACATATCAAGTTATTCAAAAATATATTAATATGGACACTTGGCATTCCATACTTAGTCGGTGGATTAAACCATGGACTAAAGTTAGTCCGCTTTCGAGAATACCACCCTTTGTGATCTCTCAGACGGGAGGTGAACAAAGTTGCAATGGCAGCAAGAGCATTAAAGGGCAACTCTAACCAAAACGGGCTAAAAATGAAAAAAGACATGAAGAATAATTGTTGACGGAGTTACCGAACATGACAATGATTTTTCTTAGAAATCATCAATAATTCAGGAAATTTGCCTTAAAAATGACGACTGAGAATGCTCAGAAAAAAAGCACAGTTTCGGAGCTGTATCGCGCAATGACGTCACTGCAGGAACCTCTCCGGTGAAAAGGAGGGTGATTTAGGAAGTAAAATGTCTTTAAAAAAGCAAACTATGTTATTGATTGAAGGGGGGAAAAGACATTTATCCGAAAAATAATATGTACTTGATAATTCTGGTACGTTTCTGGCAATTTCGTCATTCCTAATAATAAATTACAATGAGATTGTAAGATCCTTTGTTGTAGGACAAATCGGACATGTCCGCAATGACGTCAAATGAGTCATCAAGCCACGTGACCGTATTGCCCTTTTTTCGAGGGGCGTAGCCCAGCAAGCGTGAGATCTGTGAAAAATGGATGGTTATTATCATTTTTTGGTCAGTTTAGAGATTTTCTGAAAAATCAGAGGCGGGAATATTAATAAGTAGAAGTGTATTCATGTTTTGAAAGGCTATGCTAGTTGGGTTAGAGTGGCGCTTAGTGGTATTGAAATAACAATAATTACATGGTACATTATTTTGTGTATTGCTTTTTAACGTGGATTTCATGTTTTCGCAGCGCTAGGCGCATCGATGACGTCACGGCAGGGTAACCCGTGGTCGGAATTGTGATGCAACTGCGGAAAACAGATTACCGCCAACAATTTAAAGTACAGGTGAATCGAAAGGGGGTCGGATTCCTTTCCCTTGCTATAATAGATGTAAAATTTGATTTTTCCTATAGCCCTCTAAAAAGAATTAGAGTAATACGATATACCAAGTGACTTTCAAAAATTCAACCTAAGGCAATGTATTTAGCCTTGACTTGTGTATCACTCTTTGTAATGTGTGAACATGACAATGACGTATCGCGAAATCCAATCTTGATTTCCAAGGGACAAACAAGGAACAAACCCCTTGGTTGATTTTTTTTTTTCGACGATAGTTGTGAACGTGTTGAGTGTAGGACGCCGGATTTTGGATACTAAAACAAGATTCGCAAAAGTTTCATGCCGCGGAAGTAAGAATTTAATTACAATTTTGTATTGATGCAACACTATTTTTGGGAAAGTTTCTATCTTACAGAATAAACACTCATAAACTTTGGTCACACCTTTTCCCTCGTTTGGAGATTTTGAGAGCTGCAAATCACACTAGCCAACACGATTACCAATAAGCGTCGAATAAATATGTCGCCCTGTGGTACTCCATCGAGGACACATGTGTTTCTGACAATGTCTTATTAGTACCGTTCAATCGTGTTTATCACCTTCACGTTTTGGAGGGTATATGATGAACCCATTTGTAGGAGTGATGTGAGGCCCATACGGAATGTCCTTCCTCCACGATAATCATCTTTACAAGCATGTACGCTTCAGGTGCGAATTAACTCTGACACGTTTTTTTCTTCTTCTCACCCTTCCTTGCTTCAAGGAGAGAATCCATTTTATTGGAGGATTTCATCTCCGGCGACAGTTGTTCAAAAAGGTCACCGGTAATTATTTTTTCCACTACGATTAGTTTTGTTTCTGTACGGGAAAAGTTAGACGGCAGAGGCTTAAAGGGTAAAGAGATAAATGAAAGATGACCAGCACCATTTATCAATCCTTAATTCAAATCTTTTGGAGGAATGCGCAAAGTTTGCAATATTATTATACTCGATCATTTTTAACCAGCCGTTGAAAAAAGG